TATACAGTCAGCGAGTGCGACAAAATGGCACAAAATTGACAAGGAGTACTGAGGCATTCGGAATCCTGTCGTATCAAGACAGTTTCTGCTGCGCTAAAGGCGTCCGGTTAGGGCAGCTGTTACTGTGCTCAGCTAACGACGGGGGATTGGTGCAGGGAATTTGGCGAGTCCTGAACCCTCAGTGGTGCAGCCCGGACTCCATTCGTAGTACATGTACCCGTGGAACGTATAGTGCTGCTCTATGAAATCCGATCGCGCGAGTCGAGTTTGCGCCCTGCGCCTGTTCACACCCCACTGTGTGCAGGCACAGGGCTGCACATTGTCTCGCTTGATCTAATTTCATTGAGCAGCCCCCTACATTCCTGGCTACCGGTATGTAGGTTATGGATGCTATCAGCCCCAACACTAGTGAAACACTGGTTTGTGATAAAATTGGTGGAATGAGAGAACGTTGCAAAAGTTCGCAGAAGCACAGGAAACAAACAAAAACTTGCGCAATCAAGTCTTCGCGCTATGCATGCATATAATGTACTGCTTGGCGATACTTGGCTACCCCCCCCCCCCCCTCCCCCTGCACGAAAACGATTTTTGTTCTTTGCAAGGGCTTCTGCAAACTGTTGTGATGGTCTGATGGCCCCTTACCTTTACCAGGCTTCCTGCAAGCCAGTTGGCCGGTGCCCCTACGTCTTTTATGTGCGGTATCTCTCCATCCCACCACCGTTCATATATTTACTTCCTGTCTTCGTCCTTTTCTTTTTCTCCCCCCCCCCCTCTCTATTCTATTCTCTCTCTCTCTCTCTCTCTCTCTCTCTCTCTCTCTCTCTCTCTCTCTCTCTCTCTCTCTCTCTCTCTCTCTCTCTCTCTCTTTCTCTCTCCTTGTCTCCATTTTAAGGTTTTGCTCTACCACCGCCAGCCTCCAGTCCGCTCACCCGTCATCAACCCATCGCGCACCCGGGCAGCCCTGGCAGTAGCACGCTATCGATCAGTCCCGGACCGCATGGCAACGTCACATTGCAGGCTGCGCATCCCCAGCCGCCAGCTCCACGCAGCATGGGCGGACGAACGATTCCCAACCTGAAAGTCAAAATACCTCCTCAAAACCAGGTCAGACATTCTTTTTCTCTTGTTTTTCTTTCTTTTCTTTTTCCTCCTTTTTTACCATTCAAATAGTCCCTCCTCGCATTCGCTGTCATGTAATTGGGCTTGTATGGATGGCTGTGTCGATACGTTTGCTTGACTGACTGAAGACTGCCACCCAGGCCACACAAGGTGCCTATCGAAACTCGAGCTCCAACGTTGTAAGCAACCGACTCGAAACTCGAGCTCCAAATTTGTAAGCAACCAACTTTCTTAGCATCATCATCGCCGGGGTGGCTATCGCTAATGGCCAGACTTACTAAGAGAGGAGTCGCTCAGCGGGTACTGTAGTGTCCTGTATTAAAGCCTGTCTCATATAGAAGCCTGTTTTGAATAGAAGCCTGATTTTCAAGATGCACTGTTGGCACATAAGTCTGGTTTTAGTGTCGACATACATAGAAATACCTGGCTTGAATAGAAGTACCTGATGTGAATAGAAGCCTAGCACTGATATCGGCTTCTACAGGAATAAGCCCAGGCTTTATACGCGACATTACGGTATCTGTAATCGTATTTGTCCTGGTATATGTGAACACTTAACATGCAGATGGGAGCTGGCCCTGGTGCGCAGCACGGCATGGCATCCAACGTTAACAACCCCCTACAACAGCAGCAGCAACAGCAGCATCAGCGCTTGGCCGGCATGGGCGGGGGCAGCCTAGCACAGACCCTGCAGACGCCCGTGGTCAACACGCTGCACACGCCCAGCCTGTCGCTCAACCACTCCGACTTCCCCTCGGCTCAGCCGGGCGGCGGCGGCGGCGGTGGGATGGACGACATGGGTCACTTGTCGGCGGTGAACGTGTCCGGAGCGCATTCCGTCATGTACGCTGCATCGCACAGCACCGCCGCTGGTCCAATGCATCATGCCAATGTAGCCGGTGGAGGTGGGCAACAGTGGGCAACGGCAGCAGCCAGCTATCAGCAAGTACCGCAGTGAGTGTGAACAGTGATCTCCCTGCATCTCCTACACTGTCTGAATGCATGCATGCAGTTGTTGTGATGCGTCATGTCTTGGCGGACCAAACGAGGCGTGTGCATGCTTCACAATTACTGCTCCTCATTCACGGCCACATGCGTGTGCCCGCACACACACACACACACACACACACACACACACACACACACACACACACACACACACACACACACACACACACACACACACACACACACACACACACACACACACACACACGCAGACCTGAGCTCCCAATCAACTACAGTGCGGATCGGCTATAGCCTTATAGGGTTGTCGGCTATAGTAATATACCTCTTATACTGTATAAGCAGAAAATTTCGTCGGTCAATAATTTCGTCCAACTCCAAAAAAAGGGAGTTCGTCCGGTTTTAAATTTCGTCCATGGATCATAAGAGTGTATTGAAAAGCTGGACAAATCAATATTAGTCCGGCATCTAATTTAGTCCAACAGCTCATTGGACGAAAAAGACGAAATTAAATTCCAGAAGAATATTTCTGCTTGTACAGTAGTAGGTGATCGTATTCTCAAATTCATTTTCGTAAACCACCCCTTTCTATACATATCGGATCGGCTATAGTAATAATCGGCTATAGTAATATATCGGCTATAATGATAGATTTCTTTGTCAAAATGATTTTTATTGCATACATTTTTCATCGGCTATAGTGATGATCATAAAAATTATACATCGTACATGGCGAGATCTGATCGCGGCAGTCAGGAAGCGCTGGTACGACTATGATATCCCTCGGAGGAAATTCGAAATTTTTGGCGTTGGCTGTGCTTGTTGTTCCGGGGCATCCTCGAGCGAGAGCGGAGGCAGTAATGAGTACCAGCGCTGAAGCGCTACCGTGGTCTCCGCCGAGATGTTGGAGAAGGCATTCAGGTAACAGCGAAGACGATCAGGGACGCGGAGAAGTTTCTCCGTGACATACGACATCACGCGTCGATCGACCTGCCACTTGGAACGGTTTTCGGCGGTGATGAGTCGAGCGATGGCGACCCAGACTGAGACTCTACTCCCACTAATCGATCCTGTAGATGTTGTTGATATGTCGATTGAATGTGTTGAAGTGCTTCTCCTCCAAAAGAACACATTTGTTGAGCCTTGAAAACTCATGTCGAAAAGTCACGAAGTTTTTGTTTCCGCAGGAAGTAGCTCTGCACTGCGCGTATTGCACAGTCACATGCACAGCACACTTCTGCACGCTGCACTGATTCGAATGACACCATACACGCATGTGTCAGGCATACCGAAGTGTTAAGTATGCATATCGCCTGTAGTAATATATCGCCTATAGTGATATTTTCACGAAAATCAAACACCCAACGCTATAGCCGATCCGTACTGTACTGGTAGCATGTTCACCGCTAGCCTACACTTACATTGACATTGTACACTGTATGTTGTTGTGCTTGCAGGCTGGGTAGTGACCAGCGACCACCCAGCCGACCTCCCAGCAGCCTAACGAGAGCATCATGGGAACATGGCAGCCCGGAGAGCGATCGCCGCAGCGTCGACTCGGGCATGGGACCCGCCGGCAAGCGACCTCGCTTGCAGTAGTCATACGCGTTGCTGTGATGTCATGTGTTGTATCATGATGATGTCGTAAGGCGACATGTGACCGTCGTAGCGTCGACTCGGGCATAGGACCGGCCGCCGCCAGCGACCTCGTTTGCAGTAGTTCTACTCTTTGTGATGATGCCATGGGGAGGTCATGGTGATGTCATGGGATGCAATGCATTGCATCATGATGACATCGTCGTATGGCAACATGTACTCACTCGTCTGCAGTGTGGTGACATGCCTCGTGCAGCAAGCTAGAGCGACCAGTATCTGTGCTAGTTGATGCAACAGTACGTTTAGTGCACGAAAACTACCATACACGTTTCGTAGTATGAGAGACGGAAATACAAGTTATTACCCACACTTCGTGGTTGTCTAGTAGTATTAGCTGACATACAGTGCCTTTCCTGCTTCCCCTTGATCGACCTGCGTTTGGAGGAAAGGACGATTTCACAAACATAGCCAGAAAACATATTTGCCACTAGTTTCGGCTCTTCCGTATGCTCCAGTAGAAAATTTCTTCTCCCCTCTCTCTATATATTATATATTGCTTTGACTCAATTTTTTCACTCTGCTGCCATCGGCAGTGGAAGAACTATCGGACACTATGCGCTTGTGAAGCTGTGTGTGTGTATGTGTGTGTGTGTGTGTGTGTGTTGTGTGTGTGTGCATGCGTGTGTGTGTGTGTGTGTCCGCGTGTTTTTGAGATGCTTACAAGTGCATGTGTGGGCGCGTGTTTTTGAGATGCTTACAAGTGCATGTGTGGGCACGTGTTTTTGAGATGCTTACAAGTGCATGTGTGGGCGCGTGTTTTTGAGATGCTTACAAGTGCATGTGTGGGCGCGTGTTTTTGAGATGCTTACAAGTGCATGTGTGGTGATGTTTGTTTTCTTGAGTGAATGCATCGTTTTTTGTAGATTATTTCTTCTTCTCTTTTTTTTCAGCAGTATTCGTGCATCACTGCTTTGGTGCGGTATTTTCGATCATTGATGATGAGCGTCTCAATCTTTTGTCTGTGATATCAAAGTATATTATCACTTGGTTTTCGTTCGCTTTCCAATGATGCTGTTGTTGTGTGTAGTTTGTGTGAAGCCAGACAAATAGCAATGCACTTCAGTGACAATGTGGGTGTCACCCCAAAGAGTTTCTCTTGCTATTACTTATGAATGTTCGGTTGCGAACATACAACAATAATTATATTATTATATGTAGTTCGTGCTTTGATACTTGCTGAATTTTCGCTACCGCAATGGATTCTGTCTTGCTCCCAGCTTCCCGGTTCTCAGGTTTTTGATGTTTTCAATGTTGCCTGACAAGAATCTAATGATGATGAGAAAACCTGATAATGGTGTTTCACAGTTTAGCAGAGTATGGCGTGCGCACCCATATAGGTATTGCCTCATTGCTCATGCTTCGAGCGCGCTCAACTAAGTTAGTTACTTGAGGAGTGCTGCTTATTCGGGCATTGTACGTTTATGCGTGTACATGTCCGTGCGCATGTGTGTGTGTGTGTGTGTGTGCTTTCGCCGTCCGAATGATTTATCCCGACACAAGAACTACTGCCTCGCCTAATAGCTATCATCGCCTTCGGCGATGGGCTTTCCAAAGGTCCAAAGGTGTGTGTGTGTGTATGTATGTGACTGCTTGGTGGGTTGTTCGTTGATCGACTACGATGGCACTGGTTGAAGTAATATTGACTCTAAATTGAGGCAACTAGATCTACTAGTACTTGGGTTGTGACAACACCCTTCTGACATGCAGTGCAAAAGAGTACATTATACTGAGTACGGATTGCACGAAGAGGAGAATACTCGGTTCCTCTCTTTCTACATTGCGTGAATGATTGGGGATTGCATGGACCTTTTGTTTAGCTCTTGGTTGTGATGTTTGTGAGGGTAACAACTAACAAGGAGGCGGTTTACGAGGTTGTAGGGTCTTTCCACGCCCGCTTGTTGAGAGACTTATCCCCTCTTCCCAAGGCCCTGACTCACTTGTGAGGTCTGCATTTGACACTGAGGATATCTGCCCGTATAATCTGGGCGAAGTGGTGGCCCACCGATGATGCGAATGTATTTGCTTGATGTGTTCCTAAACACCTCGGGTGATGCGGCCACGAATCCGGCTAACTTACTTTAATTTTTTTTGTGATGTTTAGCCCCGCACTCTCAATGGTAGCAGTGGTAGGGCTATCCCGTCACCATGGTCACCAGGTCACCGGTAGGCCTCCAGCAACACAGTACTGACTACTGTCGGTCGCCGAAGAACTGGGGGTCAGCCGCGCATAGCCTAGACCGTTCTTATTTCCATAATTATTAATTATAGTGCAGTCTATGCACGGTTGAGTCACCGTGTATACCATGGTATACATTGGTACTACCGTATTATTATATATATAAGCACGGTCCTTTATTTTTTTTCAATGTACCTCCGCCCCGTGCTATTAAGGGGGGACGGGAGGTTCAGAGGGTCAAAAAATGAATTTCTGAGTTTTGAACTTTTTGCTATGGAATCTTGTCTTAGGATATTTGAAGCGCCAGAATTTCAAATTTGAGCGTAATCGGTTTAGTAGAAGTGGAGTTATGAGCTAAAGTATGTCGAGATAAATTTCAAATGTACATACTCAAATGTTTACAATTGCCTAATTTTGTGACTTTGGTTTAGTCCAAAATCAAGCGTTTTTGATTCAACTTCGCCAGGTAAGCGACCCTGGCTTCTGTTTTTGTAGTCATGGAGAGCTGCCACGTGCTTCCTTGATCGCGTATGACGTTCTGCAGCGCCACGACGCCCACGCGAAGGAAAAAATCTTTGTTTTTTTGTTTGTGATCGTGAAAGTGAACAATTAAATTATTTTACATGGGGAACCGAAAGAGAAGCACCAGCAGCTCTGGAAGTGGCCATAGGAGGAAGAAAGGGAGATACTACGCCCCAAAGCAGTCAAGCTCTGTACCAGTTGTGGAAGAAGGCACCGTTGAAGCGGCGCAGAGCGCTTCCTCTCGGAAGATTTCGTCGAGGCCAAAATGGCTTAGTGATAATTATGGTCATGGAATTTGAATCTGAGCTTGTGTGCTCGAGTGACAGTGATTCAGACGAGTCGTCCAGTGATAGCTGCCAGGAGTATGATGATGATGCATTCTATCCTGATGTTGAGGAGTCTGTCTCTGGCTACAAGATCGTGGATTTACAGTGTCTCCAGGAACTGATGGATCAATTTACTGTCTGTAGGAAGTGCACGAAGGGAGACATGATCGTCAGTAACTGTCATGACACTGGACTTGGATCGACCCTGCGACTTCAATGCGCTTTGTGTGGACACAGTGGAAGTACGTCTCTGAGCAAGAAAATTTGCAGGAGCTATGATCTGAATTGACGATCTGTACTGGCGATGCGATGCATTGGACGTGGCCATGGTGGACTCCGAAAGTTTTGCGGCGTAATGAATTTTCCTGCTCCTGTAACGGAGAAAGCGTACCGCAGCCACCAGGAAGTTGTCCTTGCTGCAGCCGTAAAGCTAGCTGAAACTGACATGGTTCAATCCGCAGCTGAGTTGCGTGCCATGACAGATTCCACCCACGTCGCAGTGACGTTCGACGGCACTTGGATGCGCAGGGGATATTCGTCGCTGTATGGTGTGTTCGCGTGCATCTCCTTCCAGAGCGGCCGTGTACTGGACATCACAGTGAAGGGTCGATACTGTCACGAATGTAAGATCTGGACTGAGAAGAAGCGAAGTGGTGCAATCACGGAGGAAGCCTTTTCAACCTGGCTGGATAATCACAAGTGCAGCATAAACACAGCGGCATCTGCACCCGGTATGGAGAGTGAAGCTGCGTGCGATATTTGGCAGCGGTCTGTGGGCACACGCGGAGGCCTCATAAGAACCCTCTCCCAAAGGCTGTGTTCGAAGTCGTGAAGCCCATCTACATGCAGCTGTCCGAACGAAGTCTGCTGGAGCGCTGCCAGATGGGTGCAACGCAGAATGCGAACGAGTCGTTCAACAACGTCATTTGGAGAATGCGTCCGAAGGAAGGCTTCTGCTCCGTCGACACCGTTCAGCTGGCAAGTAGTTTGGCAGTGCTCAACTTCAACAACGGCGCTATCACCTTGCTCAGTGTGCTGAAAGAGTGTGGATGCATTGATGGCAATCACACGAAGGCAGCGCTTGAGCTAGAAGACCAATGGCGTGTGAAGAAGTCCCTCCGCAAGTCATCAGCACTGGAAAAGGAGAGCAGGAAAAGGAGAAGGAGGCAGAGGAAAGGCTGGGAGGAGACCACTATTGAGAAAGAGGGCACTACATATGACAAAGGTGGTTTCTGAATGGCAACTTCAGGTCAGATATGTGAAAATATTTCAGTAGCACTCCACTATCAGTCCTTTTTATGTAATTTTTAGGTGCATTTTTCACTGATTTTAGGGGTATTATGGGCACTCCGCGCAGTTTTTTAGAAATGCTGTACATATCTTGTATGTAAAAGTATATATTTTCTGGTTCTGTACGGTCCATTCTAGATCCGTTGCCTTCTTAGGACACAAGATCTTCTGTTAGAAACAAAATAATGGACCTTGAACTTCAGTCAAGTTATCTTGCGCACGTGCATTGTTATTTCAAGGCTGCAGTGGCACACCATGGGAACTGTAATCGCATTGTGCTTAGGCAACAGCCCTAGCCCCTTGGTACCTGATCATTTTGCAGTGTTATGTGTTTATCTTCAAGTGACCGTGTTTGAGAAAAACTGCGCAGAAATCATGCCCGGCTATCGCATTTTTTCCAAAATTGCTTTCCTGCATTTCTCCATGATACCAGTATACTTTCCACAGTTCTTGGTTGCAATGTCGTCAGTGGATGTCAAGGAACATATACTGAAAATTTGAAGGAATTCTGATGTTTGAGTGCTGAGATTCAAGCGAATTTATAACGGGCACTGCAATATGGCCAGCGAACCTCCCGTCCCCCCTTAATGGAGACGTTCCTTTATTGGAGACTGTTCCATTATTATTTCAACCTCATTTCGGAGGCATGTTGCCATGCCAAATTCATGTCAGACACACACATTTCAGGGTTTTTTCGCCAGTACAGAATGAGATAATGAATTTACAGTGTGCTTATAATGGAGACTGAGCACTTTATTTTTTGAATGCTGCCCCAAGGTGTTCTATTATTGGAGACGTGCTGTTTTTGGAGACTGGCTGTGCTTATACTAGAGATAATACGGTATGCTGTGCTTGGTGAAATTCCAGCCGAGGGCGTACTTCGGTGCCTGACAGTACTGTACGCACCACCATTTTCCTACACTTCTTCATGAACATCAATAACCCAAATCATGAACTATTCTCAGTATTTATTAAAAAAAGCAGGATTTCTGGCAAGTTTAGGTTTGACAAACAAGATCAAAAATATTCAGTGGAGTTGGTAGCCATTCTCCGGGGTGTCAGAAGGTATTTCAGGATGGTACAGTCAGCTATTATTGTAGGTGCCAATCCGGCGAACTCCTCCAAATGTTTCCAAGTTTTAAAGCCAACAATCATCGCATTTCAAAATGGGTAGTAGCAATGATAAGAAGCGGCGCGGTCAATACCGTAGTCACTGTAGCATGTCCAACGCCTCCTAGCCTGCATTATTGTGTTGAGATGCAGCTGCTATCAACAGTATCAAGGGCAAGTGGCATACAACCCCCCCCCCCATCACACTGTATTCTGCAAGTGTCTGGCACGTCTACTATTCTACAGCCACGGGTCCCTTAATAATCCACCCCCAGTCATTTTGTGCTACGGAAATAATTCTGCAGGATTAGGGAGGGTGCTGGATTGTAAAATCTGATTTACTGCTGCAGTGGGCATGAATTTTTTTTTTTGCAGTGGGCATGAATAGGACATTTTGGAAACTGAAAATGATGCTAGTTTACTGAGGGTGCTGGTGTATTTTAAGTGCAGGATTAAAGAGGGATGACTGTAATAGCAAAATTCGCCTCACAATGTCACGGTGATCAGGGTTCAAGTCAACAACATCCACTCGGACCAGCTCACTCAATGGCAACATAGGTGTCCAGTGTCCACTCATTACTCAAGCCGAGTCACATGTCAGCCTTTGGGTAATCCTGAAATAAAGATTATTATTATTATTATACATTGTCCAGTTCCACGTCACGTGATAACTCACAGAAAAAGAAGTCGGTGCTCGTACAACTGCATCAGGGATCCATGTACTGTAGTAATGTAAACTGTCCACTACCATTCCGACGCATAACCATAATGTAGAGTGCTAGCAAACAGCTCAATCAACTACCGTAATCACTTTGACTTTGATCAAGAGTACATAACCGGGGTTATGTACTCTTGCTTTGATAGTGATACTACCCAAATTCATCGAGAAATATTATTGTACAAAAGTGTAAACACTGATGCTACTCAAACTCGAAAACTAACTATTACTTGCAGACGAATGCAGTGGTTCTGCTGCAACTGAAATATACACAAGACAGTGTTGAATATCCACAGGTATCGCCGCACCAGTAGGGAGGTTTAGTCCCACGTAATCCGTGGGTACTTTACGTGTGTGTACCACGTGATACTAGTGACCCACGTACAGACGTTTTCTGATTCACGACATACCGTGTATGGAGGCTCACCCACGTTCCGCCAGAACGTGGGTGAAAATCAGAATGGAGCGCATTGTGCGAGCTGTGAGGGTGCTCAGCTGAAGAAGTTTCCGAAGCACGAAATCAAAATATTGGATGAGCTTCTTAGGCCCGGGTAGCTTCGTCTTTGACCAGGTTTGGGCCTTTCGCTTTATGCTTTTGTTTGTTCCGTGTGACTAAACACAACATTGCAACGTCGGTGCCCTTCATCCACTTTACGTGGATCACCCACGTACGCGTTTCCGTTACGTGGGAACTAAACCTCCCTAATGTCATGGCCAAGTCGACATCCACTGCCTCAGCCAGCCAGCCAAACTACAAATTTTGTACATTAACATTTTCAAAAGCCGCTTCACGGTTATTGGCAAAAAATTATTTACAGGCCGGATTTTTGCAGGTTGAAAAAATGAGTGTCGAAATGTTTGAAATGTTGTCACTTTTGAAGTTTTGTGTGTTGCACCTTGAGATTCTTGACAAAATAATTTTAGAACAGCAATAGTGTCGAGGAGAAGATTACTTCTAGTCTTGTCAAGATGGCCACAAGCGCAGACAGAAGCCGTCCCAACATCCTGATCACGGGAACTCCTGGTACAGGTAAATCAGTGACCAGCAGCGAGGTAGCGTCGGCATGCGGCTTGAAGCACATCGATATTGGTGTGGTGGCTAAAGAACAGAATCTCTACGAGGAGTTCGACGAAGAGTATTCATGTCCCATATTGGACGAGGACCGGGTAAGTCATTAGTGCCGTGGCGCAGCCATAGCCTTGAGAGTATTCGTTTGATGTGTAAGTGACTGCGTCGGGGTTTGCGTGTGAAGAGAAAAAATGGTTTTGGAAAATGCACGATTTTTGTTCAAACTGAAAGGATTATTTAAACAGCTAGCTATGTTAACCTTGTTACTGTTAGGCCTCTTCGAAGGACCTCAGTCTGAGATAATTACTGGTGGAACCAATGCACTGGGTGCACTGTGCTGGAATACGTGCACGTGCACAGCGCATGGTCCAGTCACACCAGCAAATCGCCGTCATAGGTACTACCAAGAGTGCTTAAACAAGAGTACAGTCAGACCTCGCTTAATTAACCGCACTCATCCGTAGGGTTTATCGGGTGTTAGCGGCCGTCGTGAGTTCCCTTCGGGAACGGATACGATAATTTACTTTTCTTTTTTTTTACACCGTATTCCACGAAAATATCCGGACGGGCAAGGAAACCGGATAATCGAACACACAGTCATACTGTGTGTATGCATGGTATCTGCTGTAAATAAGTAACCAACGATTTTCTTCCGGATGTCGAGGGATCCGGATAAAAAAGGACCGGAGCATTGCGTAACTTGCCTCCATCACGCTCTGAAAACATGCACTCAAACCCACAATTTCTCCTACGAGCACATCCATTTTTGCTCGATTCGTCCCAGTTTTACGCAATCTCTACATTTTGGCGTGTGAACCCCGGTTCCGTATGGAAGTTCATTTCAAACCAGAGGGAAAGTGTGGTGTTTGATTTTCTGCAGTGTGCAGACTGCAGCTGAATGATGTAATGAAGGCAGCGCGCTGCGCATCTGGCCCATAGAAAAGAGATCACAGTTGCATACTCTTGTTTATGTACTCTTGGTATTACCAAGAGTATATGTACTCTTGGTATTACCAAGAGTACATAACACCAAGAGTACATAACCCCCCAGAGTGTGCAACTCGACTATGGGTGCTGTCCCGTCAGAATTTCAAGTTGACGTCATTTTTATGATGTAATGGGAGTTGCTCGCGTCTTTTGAGACGTAGACCAGGTAGACACTGGACCTCAACGCGTTCGCGGAGTTAGTTGTACAAGATCTAGAATGACCTTTGTGGTAGTTGTACGATAGATCGTGAGAGCCGGCATACGATTATACGATTATACTTTCGAAAGCACCGTATGGCGGTCACTTCCTTCGGTTCACTGGCACCGTGCCGTGGGCCATGGCCATGGGATAGGGTAGCTTCTCTTTCGTTTGTTCGAAGTTTTATTTTTCATCGCAAACCAAATGGATTGTTGTCTTCTTTGTGCTTTGAAAGTAACAGTTTCCTGTGGTCCGTGGTTCCTTTGTGCAGTTTTTACTTCTTGTCATGCTAGCAGGCTGCTGGTTCAGCCGCTAGCTGTCTATTTTTATTCTGCTATTTGAAAGTCGTGGTAGTGGCAGCGTCTGTAGCAGAAGCGTCATTGTATAATTAGAGTTTCCAAGCAGAGTAGGAGGTAGAGAGGTACAGTGTAGCAATGTCACGCCGTTAGTTCTGTTCTAGTATTTTCAAATTTCAAGCCGTTAGTTCTGTTGTAGTATTTTCAAATTTCACGCCGTTAGTTCTGTTGTAGTATTTTCTAGAGCCGCCCTTGGGCCTGCTCTCACGATGGAAACTCCCAGAAGATGCGTTGCTTCGACTGGCTCAAAGCGTATGCTGGCAAGTGCATGCAGTGTTTCTAGCGACAGTGATGGTCAAGCCGCTAGTGTCCTGGACCAAGTAGTATTGCCCTCAAAAGTCCCTAAGGCATATTTCACTTTCCTGACATCTCGGTAAAACTCATGTCAACTCATGTCATAGCACAAAACGATACTTATTCTTCATCGCTGCAAATAAGAACATTGGCCTCTGTGGATGGCACGGTGTGGATAGAAGTGTCGCCAAACCACACATCAATGCAAACAAGGCAAGGAGCACCGTTCACCGCCATCAGGCTGGTCGTCGCCCTCGATGGTTCGGGAATTTATATGCTGGATGCATTCCATAGTGTTGTCGCAGCCGAAGGTGTAGTGGCAAGTACACTTGCAGAGCTTGGCCATCTGATGGACATGATGGTGCCGTCATCGGCCTACAAGTTCTGCCCGGGCCTGTTTAACTATAATGACATTCAAGCAGCCGTTCGGTTTGACTCCAGGAATGTAAGGACATGGAGTTTTCCTGTCACCAGGACGGACTCGACCAAGTGCAAAATTCTCCATGAGTTGAGTAAGAACGCAACCATGGAAGAAAGAGCTGCTGCCATGGTGCAGTGCCGTGAATGCAAGCTGCTGCAACGCCAGTGCACCGTTCTGAAGGCCAATGCTGAGCAGAGGAAGGGCGAAGAGAAGCAGCTGAGGACCGCATCATCCTCCAAGGTCAAATGGATGCACTTGTCGCCAGCCAGTCAAACGGAACGCTTGGCAAATGTGCGGCAAGATCGGCGAATCCTGAAGCGGTCCCTAGCTTGCCACGAAAATTTGGACCTTCATCTTAGTGAGGATCAAAGTGATGAGCTGCACAGTGCCTGTAAAGCACTCCAGCAAGACCAGCTGGAGTTGTTCGAAGACGTCGTGGCAGAGGCGGGTACCAACTCCAATGTGCTCCGAGAGGCATGGGAGCAAGACCACAACCACACCGAGTTTTTGCAGGACCAGGATCGAAATGTTGATGGTAGCCATGGGAACCGCTGGTCCATGATTACATACAGGATGGCTCTGGCCGTTTACACCAGGAGCTCCTCGGCTTACCAAGCCCTAAAGTCCTTCGGTATCCTGAAGCTGCCAAGTGTCCGCTCCTTACAGCACTACACTTCAGGGCACAATGATCCCCCAGGATGGTGCGAAGAGCACATTATTGAAATGCTGCAGCAGTATACCAACCTGAAGAAGGAATGCTTGCTACAAGGGAAGGCCCAGCCAAAGTCTGACGGAATCATGATATTTGACGAGGTGAAAGTTGTGAGCAGAGTTCTGTGGAATTCAAGCAGTCAAGAAGTCTATGGACTTTCAATGACCCCTGACCAGTTTACCTCACTGCAGGATGTATTTCAAGAGCTGAGGAATGATGCGGATATGCAGCGTACGGAATATGTTCTGCAGTTCCTTTGGAGAGACATGATGTCAAGCACCGACATCTTTGGCCCTTACTATACGTCTCCTAAGTCGATGGATGCCAAGTTCATCTATGCTTGCGTTCTGGACAGCTTCCGGCTCTTCCATTCCTATGGTTTGATGCTGAGTGCGCTAGTTTGTGAAGGTGCATCGACCAACCTGACCCTGCTCAAAGCCATGGTCGGAATGCGTGCAGCCTTTGGCAACTCATCCACAAACAGCAGTGACCGATATGCAGTACCAGCGTCAACAGATCATCCCTTCTGGCCAGGGCACACACTGTATTTCGTCATATGCCCGTCGCATATGTTGAAAAACTTGATCAACGCGCTGTATTCATCTCGTCCCGGTGGCACGAAGGCCTTTGTACGTGACTCCATCCCCATAGGATGGAAACTGATCATTGAAATGTACGAACGGGAATGTCAGCGGCAGCGTGGAGGTGTTCCCAGAGATATCCCGAAATTGAGGAAGAACTACATCTGGCATGACCCATGGACGAAGTTGAATGTTTTCCCGGCGAAGATCATGCAACAAGATAAAGTTCTCACAGAGCTTGCCACTCATTGCTTGTCTCTTACTAGTGATGCCGAGCTGGACGCAGTGGAAGCAACTCGTCAGTATCTTCTTGCGTGCAACAGTTTGTTTGAACCGGGAACCTTGTCACACGCTCATGTGAAAACATCGTCATCCCAGCCTCTTGACGACATCGTCATCCCAGCCTCTTGACGACATCGTCATCCCAGCCTCTTGACGACATCGTCATCCCAGCCTCTTGACGACATCAGGAAAGGGTACTCCTACTTTGTCTCCTGGATAGACAGCATCTTGAGCAAGGAGCCCAACTACCCAGCTGTGAGCCCATATCGAACTCAATTCATCTCCTGGCAGACATGGGACTTGTTACGAGTAATGACATATGGATTCCTGTTTTTCTGCGAAGACTTTCTCCACCGTCATCTAGAGTCCTACATAATCCCAGTCAGAGTCTCTGGCAGTGCGATCGAGACTGTCTTCTCGCAAATGAAGCATGCTGCAGGTGGCCAGTTGTCAGCAAGCAACTACTCCTCTGCACGGGCAGCTCTGCTCACACAGAGGAGTATCCACACAGTCCACAGCAGTGGAAAGGATTACCGCGACGCTGCACTAGACTTGCCTCGAGTCAACTTGCGCAGAAGAAAGTGAAGATTTGATTTGATGTTCTCAGTTTTACACTTATGAACACCTCCATCGCCGAACAGGCTCTCAGCTTCACGACAAGAATAATTTAAATTAGTACCAATATTTCGCCCATTGGGCATCATCAGGGTAATGAGGTCTCGGTTATAGTTCAGTTTTAATAGCTGTGAAGTATTCACAGTTTCCACTTTCTCACATGATGATAAAAGGCTGTTATTGCTGTTATCAAGTTATTCTCCTTCCGACATACCATGTTAGTTTGCGATACAGAGATGTATATATTTGCATACCGTATTTCCGCAAATAAAAGGCCGTCCTCGTATACAACGCCTTCCTCGTATACAAGGCCGGGGCAGGGGGTGATTGAAAAAATAAAAGACCGTCTCCGATTAGAAGACCGGGCCTACTATATGGGTCTTTGTTCTTGTGTTAAAAATAGAAGACCGTGCTCAAATTGTGGGAAAAAATAGAAGACCGTGCTCAAACTGTGTAGAAGAAAATGAAAGAACGGGGGTAAAACTGTGTGGCGAGAAATAGAAGACCGGGGGTCAAACTGGGTTGGAAGAATAAAAGACCGTCCTCGAATACAAGACCGTCCTCGATTATAAGGCCGGGTTAGGACGAGGTTGAAAAAATAGTAGACCGGCCTACTATTTGTGGAAATACGGTAATTTCTTTTTTAAACATTTTCATTGCCATACACCCGTCAATAGGCGCGTGCCTGTGTCGAATTAAATTGAAATTTGATCTACACTGAATTTAGATCTTTGTTATTTATATGACCTCTCGGTTTAACCAACTCACACTTTGCAATTATCAATGGTAGCAAGAGTAGATAAACAAGAGTGTGCAACTCCGGATCTCTCCTGCACAATCTGCAGATACCCCCGCCCATGGCGGAATTTTTTGTTGACGTCACCTTTTTTCAGAGAAACGCGGACTTTGCCGCATGCGCGCGCAGAGCAGTGTGAGAGCACGTGCTGGGCACCGACCTTGTAGTGTAAAGCCCGGCCAAGTGCACGAGGGAAACCTCTCCAAAAGGCTCGCAGCGCGTGCGTCGTCGAAAAGATTACGTCAACAAAAAATTCCGCCATGGGCCAACCCATCCGCGAGTTGCACACTCTTGTTTATCCACTCTTGATGTTAGTGACCCATGCCGTGACGTAATATTGTGACAATACAATTTATTACTAAGTATCAGCAGCACCAGAACCTGAAGGAACGCATAACATTGTTTTGTCAGTGTTGTGCAATGTTATGGCATGAGCTGATTGTCAAGTAACTGGTGGCGTTTGTGGACATTATAGCGTAAATTGTGATGGCAGATAGAATTGTATTTTGTTTGCCCGTAAAAGAGGCATTCTTGTTTTATATAAAATAGAACCTGAAGCAACATAAGACCCAACAAGAAGCAAGAAGTACTAAGCACCCTCCGCTCGCGGGGAGATTATGTTGATGTCAACAGCAATACAAGCAGCAACGTTAGAATAAATAGCAAAATACATGTAAGAACCGAAAAGAACCTGGTTGAATGATACGTTAAGGTGGTGACGACACATTGGGTTCACCCATAAATACAGCTGCAGTCTTCTAACTCATTAACAACAACAACAACAACAACTCTCTTATTGGCCACTGGCTATCGTGAGAATAAAGATTTGAAACAAGAACTTGAGAATAAAGATTTAAAACAATGTCTCATATTGGCGCGAGTCGCCATCCTGAGAATTAAGAATAATAATAAACGACAACAAACATCAGCAGCAGCAGAGTCCGAAGAAATAATACAGTTCCTGGGCATCTGTTGACATTAAACATTGGCAATGTGCAAACTAGGGCGCAAATTCTGACCACTAGTGGATGATGCTCCAGACGATACCACTTGCACCTGCTCGCATGCATCAATCACCTCCTGACACATTGCATTCACAACCTTAAGCAGTATCATTTGCCCACAGGCTTCAACTATGCTGCTGTTGTGTATGCCAGGCTGATGTTTTGTGACAGCTTGCTCAAATTGTTCCATGATTGGTTTGTCACACTTAATGGTTGTGGTGGACACCTTAACGAAGTCGGAGCCATATCGCTTGAAATTGCTTTGGTTGATGACTTCAACCACAGATTCCATTGCGTGTTTGGCATACTCCATGTACTCTTCTCTGAGGAATGCCATCCACCCACGATCGCGAATACGTAGGGACATTGGAAGATTGGATAGCTCCTTTTCTTCCTTTAGGAGCCTCAATGTTCGTAAGAGCTTCAGCTTCTCCTCGTCTTCTGTGTTTGCCTTCCCTCTCCTCTTCTCCTTATCTACCAAAGCGTGGATACTTCGGTGAAGTGCAGCTCCAAAGAATCGTTTTATATGATCTTCGGTAAGAGCGGGTTTCGACACTTGATCCTCAGTTTGATTGCTACACTCTATCGTTTTCTTAACTGCATAACAGCAGTGGTTCCAAACAGCTGCTGCAACAGCATGCAGTGTGCTGCACCTGTCAAGCTCAGACAGTTTCAGTTGGCGAACCTTGTCATCTGGATAAAGTTGACTAACGGCTTTTGTCCACATCACTGGAAGCTTCATGTACTTCTCTGCTTGCGTTGAGCATTGCTTGTAAATATTGGCATATGTGGCAGGCAGATACCCAACTATAGAATGCCAAGCAGCAGTATCATTGGCCAGCGACTCTTTCCTGGCAGGGAAATAGGACATGTGCTTTTCTTCAGCAGCGGATGCTAGTGTGCTGCCCGCAACGTCCACTGCTTTTATACTAGCAAGGGACTGGGCAACGCGTCGTCGTTCTGTGGCTGATAGCAGCTTTGATTTCCTTGACGGGGGATGGGAACTCGATCCAACAGAAGCTGATGCATCCGGTGCTCCGCTTGAACCTGGTGCCACTGGTTCCGTTTCACCCTCGGCCACCAAAGACTCCTCGACGACGTCTAAGAGGTGACCATCCATGGCCAGAAACCAGTGCAATATCGCAAACTCACGCAGTCGCGGACAGCTGGCTACACAAAGAGATCAAATCGTAACATGTCAACACAAGGAATCACGGACCCCGGAAAACTTTCAAAGCACAAAGTAGCACAAAGAAGACAACCAAGATGGACTGAACAAACTGTTTGGTTTGCAATTTTGTGATGCAAAATAAAACTTCAAACAAACAAAATAAAAGAGAAGCTATTTTTACGACTCGTAGTCCGCATGCGGCACGGGTTCTCGCCAGGATCGTAGGGGCCTCTACAATCTATCGTACAACTACCACAAAGGTCATTCTAGATCTTGTACAACTAACTCCGCGAACGCGTTGAGGTCCAGTGTCTACCTGGTCTACGTCTCAAAAGCCGCGAGCAACTCCAATTACATCATATAAAATGACGTAAACTTGAAATTCTGACGGGACAGCAGGGTATGTGGGAGTTGCACACTCTGGGGGGGGGGGGGGGGGATATGTACTCTTGATAACACCCCCCCCCCCCCCCCCCCCAGAGTGTGCAACGCCTGATCGAGCTCTGCATAAGATCTTGTTCGAGCATAGTCGGATCTTCTGATGTCATGCGTACACTCCACACCAGCGCAAAGCCGGTCTCGAGGCAGGGCACCGTTGGTTTTGATCCGAGAGTCCCCGGCACTCCCTGGGTCCCCTCAGGTCTGTACGGTATTATGACGCAAAGTCGAAAGATCCGATTACGCTCGACCAAGACCCTATGCAGAGCTGGATCAGGTGTTGCACACTATTGGGGGGGGGGTTACGTACTCTTGGGCCGGGGGGGGGGGGGGGTTATGTGCTTGTCTTGGCACTACAGTAGAGTCGCGCGCCCAAGAACATTGTTTCCAAGGGGTTAGCCTGGGGCGTTCTTATTTTTCAGCAATTTGGCTGCGTTCTTATAGCACGTTCTTAGAAACAATCCGTACTGGATCATAATTATGTATCCCACAAGCTGCCAGAAAACCAACACCGCCGTTCTTAGCTTTAGGCTGTGGCGTTCTTAGTATTTCAGGCTGGACGTTCTTGGGCTCCACGTTCTTCAGCGCGCGACTCTACTGTACTTACCGTATGTCCGCACCTTTAAAGCCATGGCGCTATATTCGATTATAAAGCCAGTCTCAGTTATAAAGCCATGGGCTTCATAAATGAAATGACACTTGAAGTATGTTTAGTAAAAATGAAGGAATAAGTACTATGCTAACAAACTTACAGCCCAGCAGGAAGGGTGAACAAGTGGATTTAGATTGAAATTTTTGTGTCGACTTTGACCTTTATGGCATGGCGTAGTGGGCGAGTCATTTTGCATCTAAAATGTCTAGGAAAGCAGCGGTGTTTCGAATATAAGGCCATGGCTTTAAAGGCGCTGACATACGGTAGGCAAAAATGGCGACTGTGAGTTTGCCGGTGGTACATGGTCACCACACTATAGATATGCTCTGGGACATGGCCACCACCACACCACAGATGTGCAAGCTACGCCCCTGTGATTTGACTAGTACTGGAATACCACCCAGGTACGACTGTACTAATGTTTCTCTACTGTGTGACGTTTACCGCTGTGACAGGTTATAGATGAATTGGAGGAAGAAGTCGGTCAAGGTGGGGTCATTGTGGAGTACCATGGCTGTAGCTTCTTCCCAGAGCGCTGGTTTGACATTGTGTTTGTCACTCGCGCCGACAATACCATCCTCTACAATCGCCTCGAGGAAAGGTATGTGAACATGATGTTCTGTGTGTGTGTATGTGTGTGCGCGCGCGCTGCATGTGTGTGTGTGGGGGGGGGGGGGGGGGCATTTGCATGTGTGAGTGTATCAGCAATTCAGCATTGCAGGCGTAATGGGTAGACTTTGTAAAACTCAGCTTTTTGCAGTTTTCCATCATCCAGTGCACCCATCTCTGTACAGTGTTCGCACCGGATTACAAGTGCCAGGGCTGAATAGAACTATGAAAGGTGTGACTCTCATCCAACGCCATTACTGCTGGTGATTTTCCGTATTGGCTTTTACATTGGCGAATGGCATGGGTAGAGTACAGGAGAGTCACTCCTGGCTGGCCGATTGACGATCATCTCTCAAACTATTCTCCACGATGGCGATTATATGTACAACTTCAGCCATTGGTGGCTAATAGCCTCGGCTACAGGGGCTGGTAGTCTGCGTGCGGCCGGGGGCTGGTAGTCTGCATGCGGCCGGGGCCTGGAGCATGCGCACAAAGCCACAAACAAACTGAAAACCTGCCTTGTGTACTGTTCGTATGACAAATGGTCTGGCATAGGCCAGGCGGAATACCGGATGTCTCGAGCCAGGGGCAGGCCGGGAAACCTGTTTGGCATGGCAGCACACATAGGGTTCTAAATTTGTTTGCATGCGTGCCTGTAAGATCCCGGATTAGTATTATTATTATTATTTGAGGGATTCCCCAAAGGCCGAAGCCTAAATCAAGGATGCAGGCAGTCCAGCCCCGGCTGGAGTAGCTCCTTATTCACCATGGGTGTGTACGTGGGTATGTATAGTTCACACTGCACACACAATGGTCTATCATCGCTCTCTGTTCTGGTACCACGGCCCAATAGGGAAATTCTGCATAGCAAGATGGAGCCACAGAGGTTGAAAACGATACAAATGTCTAGTGTTTTTCCTCTCCCTCTTATGTCCATTTTCTGTTTGATTATGTGTGTCTCCCATATGGTCTAGTGGTTAGGATTCGGCGCTCTCACCGCCGCGGCCCGGGTTCGATTCCCGGTGTGGGAACATTCTTTTTTTCTTTTTCTTTTTTTTGTGTTAGTGGGCATGCATGCAGTAAGTTGATGATCCGCTTTGGCCTGGATGCGACGTGAACTGGGAAGGAGGTTGTGGTTCTTTTTGTTGTTGACCTCCAACTGTAGATTCGCTGCAAGTGTGCATCGTTCCTTTGAACTTACTTGCCAGAACTCTAGTGTAGTGATCTCCTCACCTGCACCCCTAGCGTATTCCTGTGGTTAATTCTGGCAGGTGGTGCAGCTATGGATCCTCAGGGGTGTCTGACACACGCTACGGTCACTACGGTATTAACCGTACCACTGTTCATCCCGAGTACCCTGCGAATCAATAAAAGCACTGATCTGGGGTCTAAATTTTTGAAAGTGTTCATAGGAGCCACCGCAACCCAACGAGTAAATTGTACTCCATGTGCCTGGCCGTAGCACCCTAAATTACCTTCGGACGCCCCTGACCTCAGTTTGGATACGTCTGTTTTGTGGCACTGCAGAGGGTACGCTGGCAAGAAGTTATCCGACAACGTCCAATGTGAGATATTCCAGACGGTGCTGGAAGAGGCTCGTGAGTCGTACGACGAGCACATTGTTCACGAGCTGCAGAGCGACACACCGGAGCAGCTGGTCAGCAACGTGGAGCGCATCTCACAGTGGGTGCAGGCATGGATCAGCAATCGCTAGAGCTGTGCACTGTTTGCCGTCTGCTGTGCATTGTGCTGTCGCGCTGTGCTGTGATGGGCTGGTCTTGGCGACGTACCGCAACTGCTGTCGTGACGTTGGGAGGCGGTGGTGGCATCGTCGTCCCTGCCGACTGCTGTAGTGGCATTCATAACAGGTGAGCTCTGTTCTCGGTTGGGTTCAGGATGTGACCGATACACACCGAGTCAGGTCCATCTTGTCGCCGTCTTCTTCCGGTGAGCTCATGTGACCTCTCCTGGTTCAGTCACTCGTGTGATGGTGGTGGCGACACGCCATGTCACATGATGCCCTTGTTTGGGTCATGTGATTTGTCATAGTCGGTCATGTGATCGGTCATGTGATTGGTTATAGCTGGTCATGTGATTGGCCATAGCTGGTCATGTGATTGCTGATCACGATGCTGGTGAGAAACTGTGGACCCATTCAGTTTCCGGAGCGTTTCATCCATTTTGACTGCAATGTGGCAATCCAAGCTATACTCTGTAGCTTTATGCTATCATTGCATCATTGCAGCTGTCTGCTTTCTTTAGCGTTAGCTGAGTTTTGTTGGTTGTGTGATGCATAGTATTGCCGGGCTAGTGGTGAATGCTGCTGCTGTGCTGCACAGCGTCGGTGCTCAGACATCAGCTTCGCAGCTGCATTGCAAAAAGCCCTGGTTCTCGGTACCTAGCACATGATTTGTGAAAGACTTACCAGGGTGGAAAGCAGCACTCAATGCCGACTACACTGTGTGCACTGACCTGGGAGTCTTCAGTGTGCTGTGCTGGGTGTCTTTCGTCGTCCTATTCCTTTAGTAGTATCTACCAGCCTTTCTTTGTGCACCCCTGCTCGTGCTGGGCAGAAGGACGTGGTTTCATGTTTTTGCTTGACACCTGAATCATTATGCTTTGTGTATAATGTGAAAGCCGAGCCATTCTTGAATGGAAACGAATTTCTGAGTAATTCGCTGTGGGGAGCTTTCTTGTCAATTTGGAAGCCATGCAAACTAGTGTGTGTGTGTGTGGGGGGGCAATAATACTAGGCCTGGGTGAGGTGGTGCTTGGTCAGTATGCAAAGCCACTCCAAACGCACTGACTACGCTCTCGGAAAGTTATGAATAAAGCTAGGGGTGAAACGATTAGTTCGAATATTCGAGTATTCATTCGAAAATTTCGAACGAGCGAGTATTCGAAATTTTGCACTCGGTCGTTTTTTTTTTTTTTTTTTTTTTTGTATTGGCATTCTATTTTTCAAAAACTGTTGTTATACCGCTTGTCCACTGTACATGGTATGCATGCCTTATGCATGCCTTTGAGTCAGTATTTTATGACTTGGACGATTCGATCAACACGGCAAGTAAGGATCTGAGATATGAAAGTACTTATGAAAATCTTTACTTTACACTCTGTACAAGACGTTAGCAACTTTTGCTCTATGTTCACAGATAATTTCTCCCGAATTGGTCGAGAACTCACACATCTAGCGCTTTTGGATTTTAATACTCGAAATAATCGGATACTCGATCGAATATTATGAACGAGTGATCGATTGGTCAAAATAGATACTCGTTTCACCCCTAAATAAAGCCGATTCCTACCAACACCACTCAAAATCGGCAAGAATGGTTACAAGTATGATTTGTATACTCTCATTACACACATCCATACCGATGTAGACCAGGCGTACTTTGAAGAACATAAAAGCAAAGTGGGCAGCTACAGTACTTGTGCATTGATTCAGCATGCATGCCATGAGCTATTGCACTGGAACAGTCATTATTTTACAAGTAAGGCAGTGCTAACAGTTAAACCTATACTATAACAATATCTTTCTCTCCTAGTTTGGTGTTGTATGCCGGTGTCTATCTGTCTGTCATGCCGAATTCATGGCATACATCAGATCAGAGTCTGTCCCCGGGGAAAATTGCAATTCCGCGGCCGCGTTTTTCCCGCGTTTTTTTGCGATTTTTAAAAGACCGCGTTTTCCGCGATTTTCCCGCGTTTTTTGAAATTTTCTGTTGCACTACACGTACACACAGTGCACTGTTCGGTCAGCAACGTCTCATCCGGTGGTGGCTTTGCACTCAAATATGACGAGCGCTTACACCAGAGACTTGTAGCTGATTGACTTCACTACATACTCACTGAAAATTGCCTCATATCAACTGCAAACTTGCCGCCGCTAGATGATATCAATAATATTCACCGCATATTTACCGCAAATTCACCGCAAATTATGCCATATTATGCCATATTATGCCGCGTTTTTGCCGCGTTTTTTTGCGATTTTTTCGGCAATTTTCCCCGGGGACAGCAGAGTTGATTCATACATGTGAGTGGCACGCAGCTATTACATTCGTCCCTCTCTAATCCAGCACCCTCGATAAACCAGCACAATTTTCAGTAGCCAAAATGTCCTCTTCATGCACATTCTAGCAGCAAATCCAATTTGTTAATCCAGCACCCTCCCTAATCCAGCAGATTTTCCGTTGCAGAAACGGTGCCGGATTATAGAGGGACCACTGTACAACAATAATGCTGGGCTCAATAGCAGTTGTGCATGCAGGCCTTGCATTCCCTGCATGCATGAGTCGCATGCACTTGTGCTGGCTACATCTTCATCGCTGCATGAAATCCTGAATGTCCACCATGGCCCGCATCCCATCCAGCCAGCCATCCATGCATCCAACAGCTGCTACAACTCTGCTTTCTGAAGAGTTACTGCTGTCAGTCTTGCATGCACACAGCGTTTGCTCAGACCAGCACAATTATGAAGCTCGCACAGTTGTTATTATTTTTCGGTTTCCAGCTCTTTACAGTCGCTATGGTTGATGTCAGAATTCAGAAGAAAAGCATCGACATTATCGTTCGGTGTGCCCGACATCAAGAAACAACAACATGCTAAGTCATAGCAGCACAAATTGAAGAGAGAAAAAAGATCCAGGTCAAAACGCAAAACGAATTAGCTAGCGAACGCTCCAAGATACGGAAGCCACATCTCACCTGGCAAACTACTCCTTAGAACTTACTCGTAATATAATAACACTTGCAAGAACAGTATTTAGTTTTTAGAAATTGCCATGGTTGGAACGTCAATCACGAGATCGGAAAGAGGAGGGGGATGGGGACAGAAGTAAAAAAGTATTTCCCGGCAATATTCTTTTGTGAAAAATTGTAGTCGTGCCAGGTAGGGCATGTAGCAGCCTGGCGCACTGCATGTATCCGTGTTGGAAAGCACAGCATAACGTCTAGTGTCTGCAGCGGTACACCAGCGTAGACAAATAATTACTGTTTCCACAGCTGAAAATGCGCAGTAAAAACGATCAGCGGTGCAGTCATTAGCGAGCAACTTGTCTGACATGTGCAAGAAAGTACACCAGAGGGGACAGCTGACTGCGGAGCAGAGAAAATGGCAGCAGCAGATACACAGAACTTGATATACTGAACGCACTCTGAGCGTCTCACATGTGAGAGCGTAGTAAACTTGCAGCACACTGTTGCTAATTTGTACAAGTTGGTAAAGCACACACAGAAATATATATTGCAGAACACGGCTCTTCTGTCGTCTTTCCCGCAACAGCTAGCCAGCCAGTGGCGTAAAGAAAATACAATGGAACGATACGAAAAGACCACAACAATGCGTACGTCGCCGTTAGTTCATGGAACCCTTGACGCCAGCGACTACGGCTTTCCGTACTCCCTCGTTCTGCGCTACCGCTGTACCAGCCTCCGCCTGCATCTTCTCCACAGAGTATCCCGATGTTCGATAGAAACGGTGAATCTGAAGAGTATCACACAAACACACACACAACATACTAGTATAGGGTCCCCCAATCAGAAAGCTCACATCACATGTTCCACATAATATGATGTCAATATCTCAGACTGAGCTAAAATCATGGAATTTCGAAAACCTTTTTTCTCTTCACACGCAAACCCCAACGCAGGCACTTACTTATACACATCACATGGTCCACACCCATTTCAAGTACGTGCCGTACTACTATGCACAACAAAGGTCGGCGAGCTTGCGGTCTGCTCCTGGATTTGCCAAAATGAGCTGTGTGGCTTTTTCGTCAGGGAGTGCTATTCCCGGGGTGGTGGTGGTGTGGGTGAGTGAGTGAATACTACACCGCTTGATGTCAGTTTTGCCATTGGCGCAACAAGCTCACTGGACATAACAAGGTAAAATATGTTGATCACTAACTGCAGCAGCAGCTCCCAGTAACTTACCTGAATTAAGAGCAAGGCACCGACAACAGCACCGACCGTCCAAAGTATAAAGGATAACATTCCTAGAACGAGCCCTCCAATGGTCCCCTTTACGCTGAGTGCCACAATCATACCGCTGTGAACAAGAAAACAAAAAGGGAGGAAAGAGGGAGAGAGAGGAGAGAGAGAGAGAGAGAGAGAGAGAGAGAGAGAGAGAGAGAGAGAGAGAGAGAGAGAGAGAGAGAGAGAGAGAGAGAGAGAGAGAGAGAGAGAGATGAATGCACGGTGTGGCTGAATGGCAGTGTTTGAGTTGCTTGAACCATGCACACTTGTTGCACATGTGTCTAATTCAGCAGTTGGGTGTAATATAAACTAACCTCATTACCTCATGGACATGTCGGTAGAAAGAACTTGGCGTCGGATGACACCTGGTGCTAGTGTAGTTTGACGTGACGGCGTGTAAAATATGTACGCAGGCCAGCCGATGCATTAACTACAATACCTGCCACGATGGCCATATATCGGCAACGAACCCCACCCATGTGTACCAGCAAGAACCTGTACAAGTATGGCTTGTACTTACGCTCCCCCTGCTTTCTGGATGCCCACGGCAAACACACAACAAGTGACGAATTGGAAGAAGAAGATGAAGAAGAAGAACATGAAACGCATAGAGCTGTCCGATCTGCAGAGTGAGAAAGAAAGAGAGAGAGAGAGAGAGAGAGGCCATAAAAGTATAATGTAATCAATGCAAGTTCGACCATCATCGTTCCCCCCCCCCCCCCCCCCCCGGCTATAATTAGATTTCTAACAAAACCAGCTTAGGAAGTCTCATTCGTGTCAGGTCACCACTATGCCTGAGGGGGAAAATGCATTGCCTAGCAGTGAGGGTAGGTCTCACAACCATTGCCCGACAGGATGTGAGACACCTTTTTAGCTGCATCCGTATCATCCTCATCCATGTCACTATCATCCATGTTACCCTCAGTCTGACCAGTGAGTGCTCTGTTGACTGCAGCTATCGGTGCAGTTCACGCATGCATCACCACTTTTGTTGGCACAGTATAAGCTCCCTGCTAGGAAGGGCTCTTGTGATCATGAAGCACCAGGGTGGTGCTAAAGGTACTATAAAATACTTCACCAGGGGTGTAACTCGCACATCTATGGTGTGGGGACTGTACGCCAGAGCACATCTGTGGTGTGGTGACTATTATCAAGAGTACATAACCCCAAGAGTGTGCAACTGCCTGCACAACCTCTATGCTGTGCTGCGACGGCAGAACTTCACATCACGTGACATGGTTCAAAAGGTCATGCTGGCAAACAGTGCAAAGTGACCACAAGAGAGTTGTACCCAAAGCTGGGTTGCATACAACCCTGTATCTATCCTGCACAGAGTGGAAATAATGTGTACGGGTTCATCACGTGATGTGAAGTTCTGCCGTCGCAGACCCCATAGCTGGAGTTGCACACTCTTGGGGGTTATGTACTCTTGCTATTATGTACACTGGTAACCATATAGCTGCAATGTTGCCCAATTCGACTATGTAGTACGTATGACGGCAATTTGCCGGTGCGGTGACCAGTCTACGCTGACTACACACGAGCTGCATGCGCCTGTTCACCCACACGGCCACAGTGGTGTTCAGCAATGCCCCCGCCGCCCCTCTATCCAGTAGACACACTCACTTGAAAGCGTTGTAGCCGCACCAGTACCAGCACCAGAACGAGCACGGGATGAACAGGAAGAACCACAGGATGGCAAAGCCAAAGTTTATACCGTTGCCGCTTTCGCTGCTAATGCCGAATATGGCCGCACACGCAATGACATTGACGAACAGTGTGAAGCAGTAGACTGTGCATACACATGGAAGAAGTCGGGAGGAGAAACAGAGCAGAAACATGTTTTCTCGAATATGCTGAAGTATACTACTGCTGCACGGCATTCCCCATATTCAAATATCAGTGTACTTCCATGTGGCCAAAATTTAACAATCACGTGTGACTGCTCGAGTGTACAATGTGGCCAAATGGTCATGTGTGAGTGACTGCAACACGCCACGGATCACTAATATAATAGATTGTGAGTGACTGCCATACACCAACAGGTCTGGACTGCATATACAACCGGTTTCAACGGGCTGGCTTTTGTCGATGTTCTTCACTCTCCTTTTACATTAGTTACTGTAAGCAAGCCGTATTTGGGTGATTGAGTGTGTGGTCATGAGGAATCTAGGGAACATGCTGTAGAGAGTGTGGTGTTTCTAGGGTCCAACCTTCAGCTGAGAAAGGAATGCGATAACAGGGGCAGTTTGTACACATCCATTTGATAAGCTAAGCACATTCAGCTCGTAAAATGCACAACACTGCACTCACATTGCCAGTAGAAGAAGAGCAGGCGGACAAACTTCTTGCGATCCTGCGGGATCTCCAGATTGATGTTGTGGTAGAAGCACGGCTTCACGGGGCAACCTTTCATCTTCAGACATGGTGGGAAGTTTGGCTCTCTCCTGGCCAGCTCCAGTTCCTGCTCCGGGGTCAGAGCAGCTGGATCCTTGACTGGTGCCGCGACTGGTCTTGATGGAGTGGGTTCGGGCTCTTTCTCCTGCAAGGCACAAGCACGATATGAACGAAAGCATGGATGTCACGGACGTCGATAAGAATTTCTAGGCCACAATCAGCGAAAACGACCCTTAAATGTTTCGCATTTTTTGTCGCCAAGAGGTTAATTTGTGACGTGCAACGATTTTCCCATCTCCGCCGAGATCTGGTTCTCCGCATGTATGTCACCCATAGGGACTTCTTACAGACCATACGTGAACATACACCTCAGTGACTGGCATGGTTGCAATAACAGCAATAAAGAAAAAAAAGTAAATTATCGTGTCCGTTCCCGAAGGGAACTCACGACGGCCACTAACACCCAGTAAACCCTAGCGGCAGATCGCAGCGATGAAAGGCAATCTAAACATCACCTGTGCCGTGTGCTGCGGACTAGATTGGGAAATTCGCAATCCCGGCTGTTTCTACTCCCCCAGCCACGGTACGGCACGACAACATAGTGATGCTATTACCCCCCCCCCCCCTTCCCACCACCACCACGACACTGGCCACACACACACTTTCCGTACGCATGCGTACCGTGCCGTCTATTCAAACCAGCGAAGTAGTTACTATGAAAACACATAATCTTCAACATGACAATCTGAATGGTACGGAAATGTTGCACCGGCATGACAGGTCAGCACGGTGCATGACACTATGTACATACCTTAGTCACAATCGGTTCTTCTTCGCCGGGAAACTATGCACAGCAACGACAAAGCACACAAGCACCCAAACAACAGCAGAAGCCAAAGCAGCAGCAGTAGCAGCCAAAGCAGCAGCCAAAGCAGCGGCAGGAACAAGGGCAATCATATGCTACTTCGCCTCATGAATCAGCACAACAAAGGACAGATTCGCTGGCTGCCTGGCCTCTACATGGCCGCTGTAAACCATCCACTGACCTCTTACTACTCGAAGTAAAAACACACAGAACCCTAAATTGAGTATATTCTCAAAGTCGGAAAAAATCCACGGCTCAGCACAGATTACTGCAACCTTTTAGTGTCGCATGTCTCTCTCTACGTCTATACATGTACACCTGGGACCTAAGGAAATCAAACCAAGCAGCTACACGGCATTGTGAACAAGCTACAGAGCTGGCAACTGAAATCCGACCCCCTAGCGATGCGCTCACATTCTAGCGGTCTCTATTTCGTAGTTTTACTATCCCGGCCCGGGCCCGCAGCGCCCGTGTTGGGTCTTTGCGATTGTGAGCGCACCTCCGCTCAGGGGTCGGATTTCAGCTGTCAGCACTGTAGTTCTGAATAGGATTGCGTTCATGTCAGTGCTGCATGCACGTTGGGACACGGCAGCATCTCCAAACACGTATGCAGATCTTAATTAACCCTTTGAAGCCCAAGGACGAGTATACTCGTCCCTAGTGATTTCCCAAGGACGAGTATACTCGTCCAAAACGCGCACTGTGTACGCATTGAGCATAGATCACTGTACAAAGATTCGTATCTCCGTTGTCCTTTCTTTGATTCTCACAAACAATAGCTTGTTGGAAAGGTAAGGAAAATACCTTTCCAGCGGTGTGTCACTTGTGGCAGCGCGATGCGTAATACCCGAGCGGCAAAGACCGGAATACTTCTAAACTTTAGAATTTTGAAATTTTCGAGTAGAGCCCGCGTGCGCATGGGGTTTCCCCATGACTCATACCAGTGCAGCCCATGCGCGATGGGTACCAAGATGACCGCTTGAGCTTCAGCAGCACGGAGAACTTTGAATTGTTGTTTCGTGTTGAGTAAAAGTCATGAACCGAAGGAAATTGTCACTGTGGGTGGTGTATCTCGTTCAGGCGCGATAGAGCTGCACTCAAGGGACTTGGAGGCGCTTCTATTGCTTCTGCTTAGTGTCTAGTCTTTATCTTTGGATGGAGGAGATCACAAGCTTTTCAGGGAGCTCCAGATCGTGAAATTCCATTGCTGGTGAGTGAATTATGAGATTTTGAAGTCGACCATCCGTGGTTGCGTGCAGCGCGGTGCGAGTGCCTGGGAAATCAGAAAACCCAGCTGGGCTTCAAAGGGTTAAAAAAGGGTCCCAATGGCACTCGCACGTACAGCTACGTTTGCTCCATCTGTACGTGGCTCTTTTTTTTTTTTACAGCGCAACAGCACTACGGAATAGTCTCTCTAAGCACCCTCAGCGGGCTCATTGCTACGAAGATCTTCAGTGTTCACCGAACTTTCAGGCACCGGCAAACTCCAGTGCAAACACTGACAACGGACTTCTGTCATTACTGAAAGAAACGACCAAAACGACCAGTACAGTACTACGGGGCAGCCTCCCAGACGGTAGACCGTTCTTATTTTCATGCATTACAGTCTATGCACAGTTGAGTCGCCGTGTACATGTATACATAATCATTGGTATGCTGTGCTCGGTGACATTCTAGCCTGGTCGTTCTTCGGTGCTCCGTTCTTCGGCGCCCAGCAGTACAGTCAACTTCGCTAATCACGACGGTGCATATAACGACAATTCGCGGATAACGACAGAATTTCCATGCCCGGAGCAAAGTCCCATCTTAAACCTGTATGCATATAATGAGACTTCGGGTATAAGGACACCTTTCTGATGCCCCGTCGAGTGTCGTTATACGAAAAGTTGACTGTACTGTAAATAGACCACAACACAGCAAAGCAGCCATGACCACACTCACCTTCTCGCCGTAGACTTGCTGTGCGGGCTCCATCAGCGCCGGCTGGCTGGCTGGCGCGTACGGCGGCAACTCGGCCGGATGTGACGACGGCGGGGCCGGCTTGGGAACTATCGGAGCACTCTGTGCGGTACGGTCAGAGTCACATTACACATTGCCATAGCAACGTCAAGGAGAAATCCGACCGCATGAGTACAATAGCACCGTGGGGGGGGGGGGGGGGGGACTACCCGGCCCTAGCACCACACACAACACTCTGCGCACGTGAGCGTGGCACTACATGTACTTTATTCATGAGCCTGGTGAGGCCGGGTTCTCTCACCAGGACTGTACGTTATTCTAAAATTTCACCGCACATTGTAGAGACCCCTTATTCGATAAACGTGTCACAATCACGTGAACCGGGATCCCGGAAACCAGGGAGTGGCAAGAGATCTGCACTCAGTGCACAGTGGACTCGGCGTGGGAACATAGGAGTAGAAAAATACTGGTATTTTACTACTCCCTTGCACGAACCGGGCCTTTCTTGCCACTCGTTTCACGTACGCGTGCCCCAGCTTACGACAAATCCCTGGAGGCGAGTCCAAAAAGCACGTTATCGAATAAGGTCTATTGGCTAGACCGGTTCTCAGTCCTGATGTTTGCTACACATCTGTACGGTAATGGCAGGGAACGTTGCGTGCCACACAGACGTATGCTAGTATCCAGTACGACTGCACACTCACTCCTATGAGGAATGACGTTGGGTGTGTAATATTGAGCGGCTTTCGAGGAAAGCGCACACATGCACACGCACATACACACACAAAAACACGCGCGTGTGCGTGCACACACACACAGAGCCCAACGAGAGAGCACCTAGTGTCAGATATGCATGGGCTACCGACGCAGACGGGACGTGGAATGACCTAGCACCTACCGAAGCGGGCTCCGGTGCTGATGGAGCGGGTGGCGCTGACACAGCAGCATCGTCAGCGAACGGATTGTATTCTTCCAAGCCTTTCTGCGCCGCAGACGTGTGCTGGGTCACTGACGGATCCTGAAATAAATACGAGCATTGTAACACATTCGAAAAATGTCTTAGAAAACAATAGCAGCTACCTGAGCGACCGGCAACCGGAAAAAATATTGGGTTGGTATTCGGCACTCGTATACAGAACCAGAGTTGGTCGGCTGGTCAGTGCCGTGCAAGCTAAGGAGATCGTCTTGCTTCCTTGAGAAAATCTTTTTCCCCAGATTCGAAGGCAAACACACATGTGTGGCAAGGTGTCCACATCGAAACACTGCACACTTCCTCTTCGCTTACAGAAAACGGGTTCGCTCCTTCGGGATCGGCAAACGGGTTTCCATCGAATCCACTCATCTTGGAGCCTCTCTCCGTCACGCTGCACAACAAATAACTTCCTTCTTCTTCACGCCAGATCGCCTCTACCTTTGGGCCAAACGGCTTACACTCGTCCAGATATTCAGCCAAGAAAAAAGAAAATGTGAAAAGCGGGTTTTTCTCATGCCACATCGGATGAGACAGCTTGGACGCGACATGCACATGCACAGAGTCAGTACTACAGTACCATGTACCAGTGCACTAGCGGACGGCGTAGGGCAAGCTTTTTTTGCATGGCATGCATCATGCGCTAGCGCCTAAGCAGTATGCGTCGCAAAAAGCGCAGGAGATGACGAGACTGCATATCGTGGTGACGTAGCGGCTAGCGGAAGAAAAGATGGCGCGGCGCAGCGAAAAAAAAGGAACAAGATTTGAAAGAGCTTTTGAAAAATCACATTTTCAAAAACAAACAACAAAGTGGTCATGGAAGTGTCGATGTAGAGGCGCAGGGAGTTGTAATGGTATTTTGACGACTCCCTGGTAGATCTACGTGGTGTCGACATGGATATCTGGTTTGATCAATTTGATCATCGCACTCTATTTATTTTTCCGAATATTGTCTAAGAGTTGGAAGGCCGCGTAGTCATTGCTACCAATTTGTTTTGAGAGCAGAAGAAAATTGAATTTCGTGTTTGAGCAATCAACCATGGCAGAAACAGGCGACCAGCAACAATGCTCTTCCCTGGTCGGCGTCGTGCCAACGTGCAAGGACTTTCTAGTTGGTGTGTCGGTGTTGGTGAGGCGCGAGTGCGATGGCAAATACCTGGTTGTTCAAGAGTTCTGCAACCAAGGGTGAGTGAGTTTGGCTGTCAGTGCTCTGCGAGAATGATGCAGACAGTTTGAATGTGTTGAGCTTTCCGTGTGACCATGACGCACACAGTGTCTAATATTATCTAGATAACAGTCCTTTGGAATACCTAGCCAAACTTGCATCTTTTCTGGGAATGGACAAAGACGACTCTAATGCAGACCTTCGTGTAAGAAAAATCCAGGAGAGTGAACAATCACCCTCGCTATCCTCTCAAGGAGAGTGGTGGGAGAGCAGTCCCCCCCCCCCCCAAAAAAAAGTCGCTCGCATTATCTATCCAAGGCGAGCACAATACGGGGTTTTTCAACATCTTGCCATACCCCAATCGGATTCAATACCCAATAGCTGCCAAATTCGTTCTGGAAAATCGCCGTACGCACTATAAATGAAAGCTGTTCGGACCACAACTTTAGTTTCCCTTCATCAGGGACAATGACACACGCAATGGGAAATTGAGACAATTCGCTATATTACTAAGATCCATGGTATTTTTGTAGTATTCATCGTAGAGCGCTCCTTTCTTCTGTAGCTGACGGCTAAAGACCTGTGCCTGGCATCACACGTACACAGGTCTAACTATGCATGCCCGGACTGTCCCGCAACAGAGGGAAATCCTTTATGTCAAAATGTGCGGAAGTGAAAATTTGCAACGGTACGTAAAATACCTTGCGAGTGCCGTAACTCCACTATTGGACCTCGGATCGACTTCCGATTTGTTGGAGCCGACAGCTGAGAACTTTCTACTGCGACTTCTAATGCGACTTTTCGATTACTCGATTCCGTTCAGGGAAAGCCGAGTTACGAAATATTTGAGTGTTTTCAGAACTTCATAGTGATGCGGATGCGCTCGAAATTCTCAAGGCGCGCGACGAAAAGTGCGCCCTAAAAAAAAATAAGGAGAGCAAAGGCGCGAGAGCGATCGCTCTCCTTTTACCAGATGGTCTGCTAATGGAATTCTGTGAATGTATGTACCAACATAATTATACCAAATAAAAAGGGGTTTGTCAAACGACAACCGCTCCATTTAGTTGCTATTCACTCTTGGCGCATGCGCTGGATGAATTAATTTTTTTTATTTGATAGTGATGTCGAAAATATTATTGACGTTTCGGGCCAGTCACCCATCGTCAGAACAATTTACCAGCATAACTAATGGCATACACATGTACATGTCATGTCTTATACTTCTGATAACCATCATGCGAAATGACAGGACTCAACTTCGTCTGGCTTCATTCCGGAATAGAAGAAAACGAGTACAGATATGAGATATTGCATACAGTCAACTTCGCTAATAACGACTGCGGATATAACGACAATTCGCGAATAACGACAGAATTTCCATGCCCAGAGCAAAGTCCATTCTACCTGTATGCACATAATGAGACTTTCGGGTATAACGATACTTCGCGAATAAGGACACTTTTCTGATGCCCGGCCGAGTGTCGTTATACGCAAAGTTAACTGTAGTACAGTACTATACTGTAAAACATGCAATTTTCGGTGATTTCGGTAGAGAAACCAGGCACCTACATTTAAATTACACCTAAAAGACACTAGAATATGCACTGCATGTGAAGGGAACGCTGGTCGCCTAATTCTACATTTTCACCTGAAACCTGGCAGGTCTGTGGCACCGAAATTTTAATGCACCTAAAATTACATGTTTTACAGCAGGCCCGCCGGAAGGTGGGTGAAGTTGGTCCGGTTTGAGGAGGACCTCCCCCAGACATTTTTTGAAAAATCCGGTCGGAAATGGCAGAATTTGGCCCTTTTAATATTTCACAAGTTTTCTGAGCCAACTACAGGCTGTCCCTGCGGGAATTTGCGGAAAAAAACTCTCGAAAACTTGCGCAAGAAATTGCGGCAGAAAGTAACAAAAAATGCGACGAAAAGTGCGGAATGATGCAGAACTTGCCAGGAAGTCGCGGAATTATTTGCAGAAGATTGAGGATTTGGGCCAAATCACGAAATTTGTTGCATTGTATATCTACTCATGAGTCGTACTGTGCAAATAACCTACAGAATCATGGAAAGAACTGTGTGAAAAGTGCATAAAAATGTGAGATATAGTGCAGAAAACAACAAAAAAACGCGGGAAATCGCGGATTTTGCTGAAAATCGCGGGTTTGGACCAAAATCGCAAAATTTGTTGCATCCGTGGAATCGCAATTTCCTGGAGGGACAGTACAGGGAATAATTTTGCATGGATATCAATGTAGAAATGTATGGCCAACTATGGGTGAATGTACATTTACATACATGTATGTATGCACGATCAATAATACAATCGTGTACATGTACATGTATGTACCCAGAATTTTTTCTCCCCGGTTTTGAACGAATCTTAGGGGGTGACCTGAGCCAGAGTTGGTCCGGTTGCCACCGGACCAACCGGACCGGTTCCGGCGGCCCTGTGCAGTACTGCAACTGTGAGCTCACCAGACCTCATACCTACAGCTACTTTTTTTTGTAAAGCACAAAAGGAGAAAGTTTCGAGTCTGTGAGGTGGCAGTCTAGTCTGGAGAGCTTTGTCTTAGGAGAATATGTCTGCTGTTCTGATAGAAACCACTGCCTGCAAGTACAGTAAAACCTGTGACTAACGACCACCCCTTGGGGCCAGAGAAAGCGGTCTTTACTGGCAGGTGGTTCTTAGTTAGAGGTTTGCACAGCACAACCATATATGAATGTGAGACCATCCGTGCCTGGCAAAGTGGTCTGTAGTACTGGGGTGGTCGCTAGTCACGGTGGTCTTTAGTTACAGGTTTTACTGTAGTAAACCTGGTCAGTCCGTGTAATTTCACTGGTTGCTTCTGCTGCGTTTCCCCGTTCGTGTTGACTTGCAGGTTTTACATGCCGGCCGGCCTGGCCTCTCCTGGCGAAACGCCACAGGAAGCCACGGTACGAGAAGCGATGGAGGAAGCTGGTGTTGAGGTGGAGCTGACTGGGATTCTTCAAGTGAGATATGGGCTGCACCCAGGCAGAGGTCAGTGCAGCATGGGACTATGTAATCCTGTAGTTTGCTTCGACCACTTGAACTCATCTTCGTTGTAAGAAAATAGATGCCATTTTTCAGGAACTGGATACGGTTCAGAGGTTGACCGCGCCATGGTCGAGCTGACACTGTTCGTTCATACGAAAGGAGCTGGAGTGTGCATCATTCCTGTCATAATGCCAAAGAGAATAAGAAATGATGAAAGCCTGAGGGAATGTGCATGTGTTTAGATGGATGTTTGCCCGCTCCCTTATCCGAAGATACCCCCTCGTCTCTCTGCCCAGAGGGGTGAGGATAATCGGCACACTACTGTACTGGCTTTTTACGTCCTATGATCGTGTCAGGTAGCGTGGCCGAGTGGTCTAAGGCGCTGGATTAAGGCTCCAGTCTCTCCGGAGGCGTGGGTTCGAATCCCACCGCTGCCAGCCTTTATTTTTCATTTCTTTTTTTATCGGCAAAGAGTCATCAATTATCTATCAAAGCCGGTAATCTATGTCATTCCTGCTGGGATTGTGAAAATTTTGCCTTTTCCTTCCCATTGAGAATACATACAGCTTGAGAGAGAACTAATTGTGGTGCAAACTTTTGTTCCAATTGCCACTTGCCCTATTATCTCCAGTGTAGAGCACATAGGGACGATCAGGGAATAAGTCCTTCGCCTCTGATGTGGTGATGTCAATATAGCATCAATGTCATTGAATTCTGTTCTGCTTCTGCCGTTGTTGCTGTTGTTGCTGCTGTTACTGCTGGTGGTATTGCAGAGGGTGCCATGCGCATTATTGTTCACTACACCGGGAAGCCGAAGTGCGAGACGGCCGAGACGAAGAGTGTGCCAGACTTTGAGAGTATTGTAAGTTATCGTCTGTCTGACCATCACCACATTATCCCAGTGCACTTGCTAGCTTGTTGTGTTTGCACTAGAACAATTTTATTGTATTCCCCGATTGTAAGTCGCACTCGATTGTAAATCACACCCCCATTTCCAGGTCCATGTCATATCGCTTCGATAAACTGTAAAACACGATATTTTTGGTGTAACTTTAATTTCGGTGATTTCGGTAGAGAAACCAGGCACCTAAATTTAAATTACACCTAAAAGGCACTAGAGTATGCACTGTATGTGAAGGGAATGCTGGTCACCTAATTCTACATTACACCTGAAACCTGGCAGGCCCCTGACACCGAAATTTTAATACACCTAAAATTACGTGTTTTACAGCATACATGTATTCACTTTCAGTAGTAATCATGCTCGATTGTAATTTGCACCCCCTTTGTTGGCCGTGAAGGTTAGTGTAAAAAGGTGTAAGACTTATATTCGAGGAAGTACAGCACTGTACTTTGAACAACTGCTGTGTAGTAGAAGATTCAGGAGGAGGGAGGGGTCGTGGGCCAGGGACCCTTCTTTCAAGATTCTCACTCGCGACACGCTACCTACACACACTACGGATATCATGATTATATCCTCTAGTGTAGCGTTGGACGTTCTGTGCTGGAAGATAGTGGCTGTCTCTGTGGAGACCCGACCTTGTGTGTGTTACTCCAAGTACCACTGTAGAATCAGACCAGGCATCCTTCAGCTAGCAGCTGTTTCAAGAATCTGCTGCTAGGCAACGATGCATGCTGACTGCACTGCACAACATGTGACTGTACATGTGCAGCATGGCCTTCCATACGGCCGGGCTGGGGTTCTGCGGTTGATACATGTATAACAAAATACCTTTGAACCTTTTTACTTCAAGTAGCAGTTTCAAAGGTACAGTCAACTTCGCTTATAACGACACTCGGCGGGGCATCAGAAAAGTGTCCTTATTTGCGAAATGTCGTTATACCCGAAGTCTCATTCTATGTATTACAGTTGGATGAGACTTTGCTCTGGAAATTCTGCTGTTATTCGCGAATTGTCGTTATATCCGCAGTCGTTATTAGCGAATTTGACTGTAGTTGTGTTGTCTCAATATTCTGCCATACATCTTCACAACACTCACCAAGCGGTCTCTGGGTTACACCAATCAATGGAAAAAGAATAAAAGTAAAAGTTATCCGAATTTTCAGGCTAGGCAGTATTCAGCAGTGACATTAGTGAGCCATACCACCCAGGGTTAGAGGCTTAGAGCCTCAATTTTATTTGCGCCTGTTGAACATGGCGCCAATAACATTCCCTGTAAGAACTCACACATGCTCATGCCAGTCTGTTTTGTGGAGTTGACAAGGCTTTTGCTCTTCTTTTCGCTGCTGCTACTCCCATCTATTATCTGCAGGGTGCTGTCTGGGCTTCAGAGGAGGAGCTGTCCACCGTACGTCTGCGCAATGGCAAGCAAGTGCTGAACATGATTGCCATGTCGAAAAACCCGGCGCACATCTGGCCGCTGTCCGCTCTCTCCGAACTCACCGCTGTGCAGTCGGATGCCCTGGAGGAGTGAAGGAGACATGCATTCACCGTGCAGGCAGTACAGAGTCCCATAGTCTACTCTACTGTGCAGTCGAATGCTCTGGAGCCAGTGAAGCAGAGAGGCAGTCACTGTGCAGGCAGTACAACAGCCCCGTAGTCTACTCTAACCAACCAACCACTCCGAAGTACACCTAACTGCTCACATCAGGTTCTCGCGTACAATCTACCGGTACTCTAGTGGCAGTTCCTACAGTTCTGCACTGCAACGTAGGTTGTATGTGGCTGCCGGCAGAATCAACGCCACTGACTAGTGCCATCTAAGAACGGAATTTCCACCACTGACTGATTCGTCTAGATCTGTAATCGTGGCAGCATCACCATCACTTTTGGTGATGTGTCGAAAAGAGTACCATCGCTATCCTGGATATGATAGTGTCGCTATCACTACTGCTAGTATCATGTGATTATCAGATGAGTACTGTCGCGCGTTTGGTCGTGTAACTGCGTCATCGTAGCCACCTTCACTGTTCATGTACTTCAGGGTTAATACGCCTGCACGATCGATGTCTCATCATTGCCACTGGGTCATGGCCCTCGACTATTGCTGGGTGGTCCTGCACTCGGCTTTACCTGAGCTGCGTGAGTCTCACACTGATCACATCAGCCAGCCACCATTAGCAGCACACTGGACAATACAGCCTATGCGGCCTTCGTCAGCAGAAATGCTCAAATCATGCGGGTGACTGCTGGTCCTGCTGTCTGCACGCACATCACAATGCCAGCAGCATCACACAAGCCACCCTGGCCCGTGCGTGCTGGATCTGTGCAAGCACTTGAATCCCGTGGCCCTGAGTACTGCCGTGCCTCTTTCTGTTCATCGCAACGCCAAGTTACGGTAAGAAAGTGTCCACTGACTGTGCTAACTAGCAAGTAGTTGCTCGCGTTACTATACCACCAGAAGATCCACTTCTTACAGGTGTCTTGCTACACTGAGCAAGCTTCCAGCTGAGCTGAGCTGGCATCCAGCTGAAGCGGTGCTGGATGCTGTACATATTGAAATCCTAGTACATGTACTTGCTTTGTTGCTTGTAGTCGAATTTCACAAGACACTGGCTAGCAGCGTACCCGGTGTGAACTGTTTCTTATTGTCCTATGTCAAGCTCGCCTGTAGCTTCCTGACCCTGTCTACCTGATACTTGTACTTGAAAGTAGACTTGCATCAGTCCGTGTAGCAGCTGTATCTGGTGCCTGTGACCTGCACACATGGGACGTAGTGTCCTTCAGTGCTAGCCTTTGAGTTTCGTAGTCTTTAGGCTCGTTTCATCTACATTGGCGTAGTAAGTTATTGCCAGCTCTTGAGCTCAACAGCCGCCATCGCCACACGCTGAACGGTGCGTGTATTAACAGCAGGCGTTACTGCTGATGCTGTTAGTCCTGTCATTGACATGTTTATCTCACCAGTTCATCCCATTACTTGCAGCAAGATTTGCGGCGACGCGTCCTATAAGGTTTTGCCTGGTTTTTCAAGAAACTTATTTATTTTATTAGAACTGATTTTATCAGTTTGCAGTGGCCGATGCTACTTTTTTTATTTTTTTTTATTTTTTTCTTTCTTTGTGAAATGTCGGTTCAGCTCGTTCTGTTGATCGCAATTCTAAAACTATTGTCGCCTCGACGCCTATTTACAAAAATGTTTATAGTAGGTTTATTTGTCACCTGGGCCTTGGCGGTGCTAACTCGCTTGGTCTGCTTCCACTCTGCATTTGGACGTGTGCGTTAACGGGTACGGTAGTCATGGTAGTAAGTTGCATAGCGTAATGAATATGTTGCTCCCCACACCGGAGATTAGTTGCATAGCGTGTCGTGGCTATCACACTGATTGGTAACAACAACGCAGGGCTCACCACCTGGATACGCTATCTTAGAATACCTGCCGCTATGTGTGTGTGGGGGGGGGGGGGGCATGCTTGCGCTGGATGTGTGCGTGCGCCGGGTGCATATGTTTGCGTTGACTCTGCCACTGAGCGATGGTTAGGCTGGTGATATGCTGGTCACAGGAGCAACAGCCTGGGACGCACAAGAGCACTCGTACCTACTGTAGTCATTGTTCTGACACGCACTGGTAGATTCAGTGCACGGCATCGCCCAGCCTATAGACTGTGTTCTGCAATGTACTTTGTAATCGGCTTGCCAGTACAATGTAGAGGAGACAATGCACAAGCACTGCAGAATAGTGAGCAATAATAGTACCTGCAGTGCACAAACATTGTGTTACATGTACGTACCGCAGAGAATGCTCTCAGCGCTCTAGTTAGTATCTACACGTACGGTCGTAACTGTGCATGTGTCATACGGACACACACATCCGCACGCAGTTTTATTGTATTTTTGATCACGCTCATGCACTGACACAGATACGACCTGTGTGAGTGTGAGTGAAAATAAAAGTCACACACATGTGACACATCCTGTACGCCTGAGCTCATGAGTCCTGATACCAACTAAAATTTAGTTCAAGAATATACCATGGTATACAATCATGCTGATACATGTACGTACTGTGTGAGGCTGGGCTCAGTCAGTGAGCTGAGTCCTTTGACTTGTCTGTGTACTGGTGTGTAGACCTACACTGAGTCATGATGCATCCAGTGTGATCCAGGGAGTCGTCAAATAGTATTTTGACGACTCCCTGGTGTGATCTGATACACCGGTGACACACAATCTCACGATGCCGTGTGATGGTCATCACAGACGTCACACTGAAAACTGACCGTCCACCGGTGCACCGTACATCATGCTGTGATACATTTTTCAGTTTTTAATTTTTTGTTTGTTTTCAAAGCCAAGCCCAAGGTGCATGGACTTCACTCATGCACGAGCTCATCCTTGTCTGTTGTAGCTAGCTACAGCCATGAAATAGATGATGTCTTGTAGCATTCAAACGTTTGTGTTTCGTATCACTGCCCTGGCTCGGCCTCCTGTCGACATGTCGTGGAGAGTGAGCGTATTGTAATGATATTGCTGTAGTACCATACCCCATTGCTTCGTCATGGAGATAGAACCATCGCCGGAGCAGCGACTAAGAGAGCTGCACCAGAAAGTGCAAACAGCGAGAGCAGAGAGAAACAAATCTTTTGGTTGGTTCAGTGATGCTGTCGTGTGAGTGCCTGGATGCAATGCACGCCGAACGTGATGACTGTGTATGTTCGTGTGCCTTTTTGCGTGCTTGAATGTATAGATATAAAGGGTTTGGAGAAACCAGATGCTCTCCAGTTGCGAATGAAGAGCAGGAGATGCTTGCACGTGTGTGACTCGAAATTGCTGCATTTGGACTGGAATGTGGACAGGCGACGTCTGGCTATATGTACAGAGGTACGTGAAACAGTGCGTGTTGACACCATCAGGCATTGGATGACGTAGAACGATACAAAGACTCAAGAGCACATAACCCCAAGAGTGTGCAACTCTGCATATGGGGTCTGATGCAGCGTGCTGCCTACAATACGTGGCCACGATCTGTGGGCCATTGTGTCATTATTGATTTGCTACGGTTTCCTGATTCCGAATCCGCTTTCCTCGGAGACTTGGGATGACTTTGCACCTGATGCATCATACTCAGGCATTGCCTTTGAACTTACCGTATTGCGCGTGAAATCGTAGAGGGCAAACTGGAGGAAAACTCAAACCTAGGCAGCTGGACCGTCATTTCACTACGTGATGAAAGCAGCGCGCCGAGCCGGGCACCCGTAGCTCAGCAGGCGGGGGTGCGCGTGTGTGCGCGCGTGTGTGTGTGTGTGTGTGTGTGTGTGTGTGTGTGTGTGTGCATATTCGTGCGCTCATTTCGTATTGTGCGTTGGTGTGTATGGCCGTGTTTGCCTGCAGAAAGGTGAAGTGCACTGCTGGAATGCCCTCACGACAGAGAAGGTACGTGTTTCAACAGACTTCCATGCTCCTTGCTAGTCTTTAGGGATACTGTATGCCATATGTATGCCATGGTGCTGTAATTACAAATAGTAAAATAATTATTGTAATAAAGAAAGCTGATTTTTGGCAGGTAAAACTTTAGCCATTTATACACTAGCACGAATTTACGCGGAATTGTTTTAGCAATCAGCGTTGCATGTCATTAACCCTTTACCTTCTGACCATAATTCCCAGGCAGTTCCAAATGTGATATTTCTCACCTCATTCTGAGAATATCTTTGGTTCTAATCAACCAATTTTCACCATCGTGGGCATTCTGGAAAGCTCTCCACGAGCTGCGTACAATGAGCTCAAACTGGACACTACTGAGATCACATATCCAACGCCAGGGTGCTTCAAACACTCCCATCGCTGGATACCCGAGAAAATTCTCTCCTTGTCAGCCATTTCTCACTCCTTCATCGTAAACATTTCAAATTTGTTTGCCTGAGTTTCTTTTTATGCTGGCCACGCGCTCAAAGCATGTCCAGGTGACTCAGCATGTCAGGAGAGGGAAAATACCCAGCTCAAGGCCAGTCACTCAGAAAAAGATGGACTTTTGCCGTGGCTTAAATGTCGAGTGCGATATCCTTGGAATGCGACATCGCAGCTCTTCGCCGATTGTTGCAATGAAAAGCTGGGCTCTTCGGCTTCATCATACATACTTAGTTTTTGAGATTCCATCAAGAATTGATCGAGTTACGAATGTTTACTCTAATTTCAGAAATCTTAGGTGCTCAATATTTTCGGTACGAGGGCAAAGGGCCAGGTTAGGCTAACAGAAATTTTAGGTACAGTAAAACCTGGTGTAAGCGACCCCTGGGTTTAGCGACCTCTGAGTTTAGCTACCACCTGCTCTTAACGACTGTTTTTCCATGCACCGACAGTTGTACACAGACACTGTGGGACCTGGTTCTAAAGGCCACCTGGCTTTAAAGGGGAAGTCCGGTGAAAAATTTAAATCTCACAGTCCGTAGAGTTCGGGGCGCTGAGTCGAATGGTCTTTGTCCGAGGAGGCTGGGGCCTATGGTTCGTCAGATACGCCCAATCGAACATGTGCGAATTTGAGCGCGCCTCACCCAGATCCAGGTGATGACGTCACAGCGTGCAGCCAGGTAGCCACACCATCTAGATATGTACAAAACGGCCATATTCGGAGCGCGTTCGATTGGGGAACCGTTTGTCGCAGCTTCTTCGGACCAAGACCATTCGATTCAGTGTTACAAACACTACGTACCCTGTGATTTTCAGCTCGGTAAACCGCGAGGTTATACCGTATTTTAGCCGTTTCCGAGTTGGACTTTTGCCGTCGGCATGCACTGGCCTCTACGAGACTACGGCTCTAGCAATGCGCTGCGTGCATGCTAGCTGTAGTGTAGTCAACAAACTCATCACACACGGAACTAGTACTCCCGCACTGCCGTGCTGGGGTAGGTACAACAACTTTGAACAAGACTCGAGTCACAAGACTCAGAAAACTAGTCAACACACGGACTTGTCATGTACTACACTCGTATCAGTTGTATTGTACAGTCATGTACTGTAGTCAAACAACGAGCGTTTCTCCTTGCCGGTGCCGATGGTTGTGCTTTGAGAAAGAAAATTTTAGTTTTCCGCTCCCGCCTCATTATTTTATGCTACAGCGATGAGTGCACAACCGTGACAAGTGACAAAACAGCGAACAGCTCCCGGACCTAGAACTTTCAGATCCCGTAGCGTTGCGAGCGAAGAGTCGTGCCCGTGGTTCAAAGAGCCTGCACAGTAGTCCGAAATATGCCAAGTAAGTTCACACCAAAACATCACCATGTGGCAGGCTACTGGAGTCTAAACGAATCGGTATGGAACAACATTTAGAGCACTCGCATCACTCTTCTCCATTTTGGCGACTCTGCTCTCCAGCGATCTGATAATTATATCAGCCTCGTCTGCAATAGCTGCTGCTTCTTCATCAGTCCGACACTCAGTAGCGCTCACTCTTGACCGGCCCGCGCGGCCATTTCTTCAGCTGAATACCGAGGTTCTCAGCCCCAGACCGAACTCATGAAGCCGAGAAGGTCAGCCATGGCTGCATCCTCACTCTCACAAGGAGTTACGTCTTCGGAGTCGCTTGCACCACCTACTATGGGTCGCCAAATCATTTGAAATAGCATTATAGCACTGACACTATTGCTTTCACGCACTCCTTTTGACCTAGCTGCACGCTATGACGTTGCAGAGGGTGTGGCGCGGCCGCATATCGTCATGGCGCAGCCCCAAAAACTCAGTTTTTCAAACGGAAATATCTCGAGAACGCTTTGTCGGAGACACGTGGGACCAACACCATTCGACTCAGCGGCCGAAACTTTACCCACCCTGAAATTTAAATTTTTCACCGGACTTCCCCTTTAACGGCCGCTTTTGCTTGCACCGTGGGGTGGTCGGTTAAACCAGGTTTTACTGTACAAAGAAGTAGTTCCCTATTGGATTATGTGTGTTAGTGGTTGTTCAGTGTATTGAAATTTTAGGTATGAAACAGACACACCGAAAGTACCAAAAATAAAAGCACACCGAAATTTGTGAAATTACAATATTTTCGATTTCCGAGTCTAAACTTGAGCAAACGTATTCCTTCACCAAAATTCGCTGAAATTAAGCCATCGCCGAAATTAGCCGTTTTACAGTATGTGATTTTGATGTGGACATTTGCCATGGAAGGTGGTACCTACCGGTATGCCATGCACAGATGAACCCTCTATATCACATGCATACCATTGAGGCCAGTACAATATACTGTGTGTTGTGTATGGAGAGAGGGGGGGGGGGGGGACCACACAGTAGAGAGGTTCCGCATAACGTAATTACGTTAGTAAAAAACGTAGTCGATCTAAGTCTTACGTAAACTGCATGCGCATCTGTGTTCCGCCATACGGAGTTTTCAAATCACGTAGCTGCCCTGGGCAACTCCGAACGCGGCAGTGTACGACCAGATCGACCTGGGGAGAGAGTCATAAATTTGTACCCCAATCCACTTACGGACCAGCTACGTTATCAGAGCCCTATCTACGTACTCTACGTAGACAACTTTCCGTAAGTGGAGTGCAAACTCGCGAATTCACGGGTTTTCCCCGCCCACTAATGTAAAGTTGCTCGCAGTGCGGAACCTCTCTAGTACAGTGCCACGTGTTTGCGTACACTTGAGAAACTGGTCCTTCGGTGTGGAGGAAGAATCCGTGGTTGTTGCTTGTGAGGTGTTCACTATGCCAGGTGTTCACTGCGCTATGGTAGAACTGCTGCCTTGTGTTCTTGCAGTGCCCTAAAGCCGGACACCAGGTTGCCCTTGCTTAGGCCATGGTAAAAAATAAAGTTGATTCTCCGGTCATGAGCCTGTGAAAATCGGTGCGAGCGAGCGATTTTTCATTTTATTTCCCACAATTTTTCTATTTCCAAAGATAGGGTCACACATATGTACGTCACAGGTTCATATTATTATTTTATTATTCAGGCCAGGGAGTAGAAAAATACCAGTATTTTACTACTCCCTGATTCATGCCTTTCGCATTGACTGTTTTCATGCGCGCATATGCATGCACAGAAATTTAAAAAATCGGTGCGCGCATACTTGAGAATCAAAGATAATTTTTACCATGGCCTTATGTTGCCTTAGTGTGTAGTATTGGCCGGAGGGTGTGGTGTGTGTGTGTGAGGTGTGGGGGGGGGGGGGGGGGGGGGGGCGTATTTGCACTGCTGCTGCTGGTGCCTTTTCTGGCACTGTCAATGGTGATCAGGTTGCTACCGTTATTGTTGTCGTCACTATTGTCATAGTATGTTCTGTGTGTGTATGTATGTGTGTGTGCATATGGGCGTGTGTGTGTGTGTGTGTCTACCCCTCCTCTCTCTCTCTCTTTCAGGTTATCATTCCTGACTTTCATTTGACAAGAGAATGGGCGTTGTGCTGTGCCTTCTCCGCCAATGGTCAGGATATAGTGGCAGGGTAAGCGTTGCGATTATACAAACAGAGAAAATATCCCTTTTCGTCTGATAGTCGATTCGTGAAACTCAGAGTTACGAAATTGCAACTGTTCGGCCTTCTGCTTTTGTATTCCACTCTTTGCTTTCGGCAAATTGAGTCCTCTACAGACGGTGGATGGACCTAGAAGTCATTACAGCATTATTTATGATGGCAATAAATAATCAGAATCAGCTGAAGCGACATGTTCCGAAGGCTTTATTGAGATGTAAAGTGGTGTAAAATGTGATGATGGACAAGGAAATAACGGTGATGGAAATGTAATGTGAAAAACAATAATAGGAACGATGAAAAATATAAACATGCATCGAACTAGCTTTCGCACAACGCTCATCAGGAAGGATCGTTGTACTAATTAACACAATTGCAACACAGATTACTATAAAGGATCAATAGTGATATTCTAACACCTAAACAATGCCAAAAAAGTATCACAAGGTATTCTTGAACGATACCATTTGCGTGAAAGATAACAATCAAACACTCCAAGGGGACAAAATTCAAGTATGAAACAACACTAGTGACAAAATTCTGGCCCAACACGGCCAGACAAACACAATATTCTACTGGTTGAACAATTTCAAAAAGATAACACTCTCCTTTTGAACACAAAGTCAGGCTTATGAATGCGTTGGAATACAGCCTCCATTATTTATAGCAATAAAATAAATTAATAGGACAAGCTGCACACTCCTTCTATACACACATCGAATCAAATTAAATTGCTATCTCCATGTAGGTTACCGCAATCAGTAATACAAGCTGGGTCAACATTTGTGTATACTTTATTCATGTAATGTAAAACAGTTTTACATTACATGAATAAAGTATACACAAATGTCGATCCAGCTTGTATTACTGATTGCGGTTATCAAATTGTTGTCTCCACGTAGGTTATTATTATTATGCACCTTACGTGTCGATTTCATTCTATGTTCACGTTCATGTACAATCAAGAGAACTAAATCCACATGTTCACTTGTGCTGAACGGAGGCAAGGCTGCTTTTTGTTTTGTTTTAGCGAAGTAGGCATAAGAAGATTCTGTATATGGCTGATGTTATCATTATCCAAGTCTTCCCCCCCCCCCCCCTTCTCACTCTGACTCTCTCTCTCTCTCTTTCTCTCTCTCTCTTCTCTCTCCCTCATCCCCTTGTCTTGCATGCATTCTGCTGCGCCATGCTTACAACTCCCGCCTTTAACCCATTCAGCGCTACTGGGCCTTGCCTATGGTACTCTGCATATAAAATGCTAAAAACAAGGCAAATAGAAAGTTCTAAAACTCCAGGGTCCTGGCAACTGGGTCCTCAAATATTTTGGAAATGATTGCCAAGACCATCAACCACAGGGTGACAGAATCGATACAGTCCCCGAAAAGAATAGCGCTTCACAATAGGGGACGCAAGTTTGCTCAAATTGCGTGAAATACGCTAAATGTGTGCAATTGCAGCTGAAAGATTGCTGAAAAGAGAAGAAAAAAAGACGCTTACAGTCCATTCATAAAAAGATGGGTCCTGGCTCTGGCGAGCTCCCGTATTTGGCGATTTTTCGTGATTTCATCGTACACAGTGCAGTGCTGCGAACTTTGAAATTTGAAAAGGGTCCAAAAAGGGTGCCTGAACTGGGGTTCGAACCGCAGAATGCACTGTTGCAGGCGGGGTCAAACGGCCTGGATTTTGATGGTTTTTCCCAATTCAGTGCTTTTGGGGCAAAACCTGGCCGAAATCCTATTCTTCCTATGGCTTGCTTTTTGGACAAAAAAACTTCAGAAACATAATTGGAAGAGGATTCCATATGGGATTGCAGAAAAAAATTCTAAAAAAACTCAACGTTTGACCCATTTATGGCCAAAAGCTAGAAGTTCATTTTTTTCTGAATGGACTGTAGTGTTACCAAGCGGGATTCGTACCGATGACCTATCGTACAAGAGCCAGGATCATGATCCAAATGACTAACAGTGCTTTCACACACCTGATAGTGACGGAAATCACTATAATTATATCCCATGACGTCTATAGACGTCATCCCGCGCATGGGGGGCATTTTCAATGACGTCTATAGACGTCATCAGCGTTCATTGGGTTAACAATGTGTGTCATGTTCTCACTATGCTTCATTGAACAGTGGTCGTGACAACAAGTGCACCCTCTTCTCGCTGACGTCACCCATCCAGCAAGTCGTTGCACGGCACAACGACTTTGTGTCCTCGTGTATATTTGCGTGTTCACAGCAAGAGGTATGTTGCTTGTCCTACCCGTGTGCAGATAGAGTCTGGTGGGGTAGAGCACATGTTGGTGATTGACACCTGGTCTGTACAGTACTGACAGGCCCGAAGAACGGGGGGGGGGGGGGGGGGGGGGTTAAGGCCGATTCATACTTCATGTAGCGTACGGGAAAGCCACCGCGCGACCGTCGCGCGATGACTTTCCCGTACGCGAAATAGTTGAGCTCAGATCAACTTTTTCGTGACGCAACGCGTTTCCCGTACGCGAAATGAAGTATGAATCGGCCTTAAGGGTTCTAGCCTAGCCCGTTCTTATTTTTAGTGAACACAGCAGTTCACTGGTTTGAGGGAAAGACGCAAACGGGAAAAAGTCTGAAGAAAAATTGACTGTCACCACCAGGACTCGAACCAGGGACCCTCGCTTGAGGCCAGCGATGCTCTAACCACTGAACTATGGTGTAGTCGTCATCCCACCAGAGACCATTCAACCTTTTCCTCACAACAGTTACTTCATCAGTTTGTTTCGTTCTTTCTATGGTGCAGTCTTACATGTACATGTATGCAGAGTTATACGTCTGAGTGTACATTATGGTTTCTTATCTGCAAAAAAATCGTTGGCGCGACAGTACTGTAAGAGCCCTAAACTCTAGGAGCAGATGTGTGCATTGTGCAACATTTCCCCTGGTTTTCCGAGACCATCTGTGTTCAAAGTCCACAGTCATCAGGTCAATCGATTTGGTGGTCACTCTCATTGAGATCCAGTTTTCCTCTACTTAAATCTGTGCTTTTTGGCTGATGTGGTTGTTGCACTGGAATGCTGTTTCCAGAGTACATTAGCTGCTGCATGGTGCTTTGTTCTCTTCTCATCTCTGTGTCCACTCTCTCTCTCTCTCTCCCTCTTTTTCTCTATCTTTCTCTCTCTCTATCTCTCTCTCTCTCTCTCTCTCTCTCTCTCTCTCTCTCTCTCTCTCTCTCTCTCTCCCATACTAGCTGTTGACAGGTAGTGGTGATACAACGTGCGCTCTTTGGGATGTGGAAACTAGTGACTTGATAAGATCGTTCCAAGGTCATAGTGCTGAAGTGATGAGGTGAGCTATGGGTACTATTCTGATACTGTCACTCACTGGCATGTCTTGGCATGTCTTGGCAGGGTTACTTGATGCTGTCCCCGACTGGCATGTCTTGGTAGTGTTGGTTGATACTGCCACTGTCTGGCATGCTTGGCAATGTTGGTAGTGTTACCTGATACTGTCCCTGACTAGCATGTTGTGGTAGTGTTGGCAATGTCACTGACTAGCATGTCTTGGTAGTGTTGGCAATGTTGTTTGATATTGTTACTCACTGGCATGTCTTGGTACCGTGGTGTTGGCAATGTTGGTTGATACTGTCACTCACTTTCAGTGCTGGGCAATGCTTAGCAATGCTCGGCAGTGTCAGAACAGTCGCTACATAGTGTTAACAGTGTACCGTCTTTGTGAGGTGATGGTGACTGTGTGTTACACAAGTACCAACCACCCTTGCTCAGCTGTATCTCCAAGATTGGATGTGGCTGCTTAGATTTCCCTCTTTGACATCGCCCACTCCTTGTGTACTACTGTACTGTCGGGTCAGCCTTCTAGCCTAGGCTGTTCCTATTTTTTCATGTACTAGCTATGAAGCCGAGACCTCTGGTCGGCGGAGCTTAATGGGCCCCACCACCACACTCCATCATTCACCCCAGTGTCTGGAGATATGTGGATTTTGTAGAAAAAAAAACTACAGTATATGCACGGATGAGTCACCCTGCATACATTGCTATGCTGTGCTTGGTGAAGTCCTAGCGTGTTTGTTCTTCGGCGCCCGGCAGTACTGCATATGCGCTCAATCAGAGTAGACGGGGGGGGGGGGGGGGGGGCTGTGCCCTCTACCCCCCCCCTCCCCTTGGCGAGAATCATGGAATCCTATTGCGGTTGGGTGTAGGTAGCGTTGTGGGTGTGCATGCATGCGAAAGTTGCTTTGATAGAATGTGTCTTTCTTGTCTTTGTATTGTGCTGTCACTGCAGCCTCGCCATGGTTCCATCCTTGTCGTCAACAGTTTTCCTGTCTTCTGTGAGTGTGTGTGTGTGTGTGTGTGTGTGTGTGTGTGTGTGTGTGTGTGTTCGCTTGCATGTGTGTGCACGCACGCATGTATGCTAATTCACGTGAGTTGTGATACATGGTTTGACCCCCGGTTGAGTATCGAGAGAGGATTGGCTCGTGTCTGCAGATTTCCAGACATAACCTGAAAGTTTATTCATCCTTGCAAACTTCATGACATCACCATGGAATCGAATTCGAAAAGTATACCGCAAAAGGCCTCATGGATCTATTGTGACCTTGTTGTCTACCCACACTAGCTTTTGAGGGACAATCCATGTTAACTTGAACAGAGATCCATTGGTAGCCAATATGATATCATCCTGGGCTTAAATTAATGTGTGCGTGCCTGCATGCATGTGTGTCTGTGTGTGTATGGTGTCCAGGGTTATGATGGTACAGTACGTGTGTGGGATACGCGTACCGCTAAGCTCTCGCAGCATTTCAAGGATCTCAACTCTGCTGTCAACTGCATCAGGTGAGCACTGCAACTGTTGGTGGTGCTGTTGTCACCATTACTGCTGCCGACTCCATTTCTGCTGCTGGTGTTGGTGCCGCTGCCACATTCTGCTTCTGTTGCTGCTGCTGCTGCTACTGCCACCACCATTGCCGCTGCTGCTGCTGCTGTTGTAGCAGACTGTCCGGGTGTATGGTGGGAAACTCTGTGAGTCCCAATATCATTACACACGTTGCAACATGAAAGCAAGTACATGTATAGCACAGCAACAATCACCCTTTACTCTCTCCGCCATGGATTATTTCTTGCAGATGATTGTACCATAACATAACTCATTGACTAACATATTTTGTGAAAATATTATCCTGTAAAAGAATAGGAATGTAAACAATATACCTGTGAAAACACAACCTTGAATGCTACTAACACAACCTGTGACTACAATAATCATGAGACCAACTCCAAAACATTTCTTGCAGTTTACTTTCGTAGAGTTTGCAACTTTGTGTTCCTCAACACAACTTGCAGCTTTCTTCAAACATATCCTCAACCTTGGTTCTGTCCTAGATCGTGTATACATACATTCATTGTTTCGTCTCATCATTATGGAGCAGCTTATGCGAAGGCTAGCCAAGCTTGCTTGGCGATGCCAACGCGGAAAAGCCTATAATAATAATAATAGATGATTGCGTGCTGATGCCTGTCTCTAGTTAAGGGTGTGGCAAAGGGAAATACCTTGTTGCTGTTGCCGTAACGTTATTGTTCTGGTATTCCGTTGTGTTCCTGGCTGGCGTGCTTTTGTACATGTATGTACAGCTTGACAAGCAGCGGTGAAACGTTTGCTGTTGCATGCCAAGACTGCACGGTAAGTACACTAAATGTGGATATGTTGAGTCAAGTGTCTACTACTATCTGGTCTAGGGAAGGTGGAGCTGCTGATATGAGTCATAGTCACTGCAGTGCCCTAGGTTGATATTTTCTCCGGGTTGATAGCACATATAATGGCAACCTTTTCCAACTGTTGATGCTTTGGTGACGGCACAGCTGATGTCAAGCTATCCTCCCGGGATAGCACTGGTGTGTTCCTGCATTGCTAGTGTTAACGAATTCTGTTCTGCACATTGTTGTTCTGCATATTGTTGTCCTGCACATTGTTGTTGTGCCCATTGTTGTTATGCACATTGTTATTTTGCACATTGTTGTGCCCATTGTTGTTCTGCACATTGTTGTTCTGCACATTGTTGTTTTGCACATTGTTGTGCCCATTGTTGTTCTGCACATTGCTGTTCTGGACATTGTTGTTGTGCCCATTGTTGTTCCGCTCATTGTTGTTCTGCACATGTCAGGTGAGACTGTTTGACCTACGAGCCGACGCCGAACTGGCTCGTTTCGATGACAAGTCCATGTTGTTTCCGTGTAACTCGCTCAGCTTCTCGTTCAGCAGTAAGTGAATGTGTCCTTGTTTTTTCTGTCCTTCTGCACGGTTGACCCTTGAGGGTGGTGCGTTCCTACGGATGCAGAAAGCTCGATCTATCCCGAGTCTCACTTGAACCGTGCAATTTGTTTCTTGACTGTTGTGTGGAAGAGTGAAGTTGTGCAACATTTTCATTTGGTAGCCAGTGAACGTTTCATGGATGCACTTGCTACTGTACGTGTGTGTTTGCCTTTCTGTCTGTCTTCCTGTCTTTCTGAAGAAGTCCAGTATGATTGAAGTGCTTTTATAATTCATTCGTAGTCAGTTCTGCCCCTGTGTGAAATGGTCCAGTCATTCTCCTCTCGTGTGTCTGTCGGTCGCTCGGTCTGTCTGTCTGTCTGTCGTAGTACAGTGGTTACTTTATGATTCTGCTGGATTAGGCGGGATGCTGGATTAACAGATCTGATTTATTGGTGCATTGGGCATGAACAGGACACTTTTGTTTATCAAGTGCTGGATGAAAGAGGGACGACTGTATCAACATCACATGCATCTCGTAGAGAACTGGCGTTCTTGCTGTAATACGTGAATTTTTCTTGTATGTTTGCTTTGTCGTCCAGGTCGTCTTCTGTTCGGTGCATCTAATGACTACACAGTCAATGTATTTGATACACTGCGAGTGAGTTGTTGTTTGAACACGTTTGCCATGATGATCACTGAATCTTGCTGAAAGTTCCCGTTAATCTTGTCCGCAGGAATACTAGTAGACTAGGCCGCTGCGCAACGCGAGTGCATAGCGTCTATGCGCCTGTGTGCGTGCATGTGTGTGTGTGCATGTGTGTGTGTGTGTGTGTGTGTGTGTGTGTGTGTGTGTGTGTGTGTGTGTGTGTGTGTGTGTGTGTGTGTGTGTGTGTGTATCTATGCGCCTCTGTGTGTGTGTTTACGTGTATGCTGACTCTCTGCACATGCTTATTCTCTGCTCTTGTTCTGTGTTGGGTAACTGTCATCACTGCAGTTTGAGCGCAGTACACAGCTGTTTGGACATGACAATCGTGTCTCATGCATACGCACATGCCCGGACGGCTCATCTGTGGCGACGGCTAGCTATGACGGCAACATTCGGGTAAGCGTCTTCAAGCTAGTTCTTCCCTCAAGCGGAGATTTGGATATGTCGTGGTCGATTCATGTGTAGAGTGTCGAGTTGTTTGGTGTGAGCAGAGGCAGCTCTTGTGATGGGCCAACGCCTGGTGTATGTTTTTTTTTCTCTACAAAATCCACATATCTCCAGACACTGGGGTGAATGATGGAGTGTGGTGGTGGGGCCCATTAAGCTCCGCCGACCAGAGGTCTCGGCTTCATAGCTCCATGGACGCACCAAAGGGATATTGGGTAGGGAGGATTAAATTGAAAAAGAAAACAGAAGAAAGAAAATGGAAAGATTGTATTGCTCAGTGAGCAAAAGAATAAGTTGAGTATTGATGTGAACGCTGTTAGACTTTTAAATTCAAGAGGAGACTGTCTGTGAGGAGAGATTACATGTATGTCCAAGCAGGGTGTGATGTGCCGTATTTTCCGGAATATTTTCCGGAGTACAGTAGATATTGGTTATAACGTGCCCTTCTGATTTTTCACATTTTATCACTATAACCGGTATATCACTACAGGCGATTTTCAACTGCGCGCGTCATACATACACATTATACACGTGGGTACTCGATCGCGCTAATGTAGCGTACTGATACGTGATGGATGCTACTGCACCTTCTCTAGTCTAGAGTGAAGAACTTCTTGGCCCAAAGGCATCATCCAGGAAGCACCAGACCAGAATACCCTATGACAACACACATGTAGCTCCAAGTCGAGACATCAATGCGCATGCGTGCATGCGTGTGTTGTCACTATATCAAGAAAATTATCTTTGTTGTGCACAGAGAGTTGTATCTTGGCACATTGAGGATGGACTTTTTTGTATTCTTGCAGGCGGTGCTACTCTGCTTTCTGAACTCTGCACAGAGCGGCTGCTTGACTGTCGCACTGGTATCCAGCTAGCTTGTCATCTGTGAATGCCCAATCGGCAGTAGCTGCATGCAATGGACATAAAGTTAGGTGTTGTGCCGGTGTGGCATTGTACATTCAGGTGTAAGCTGCGCGTTCTCTCGCTCATTTTCTCTGCCTCTCTCTCTCTCTCTCTCTCTCTCTCTCTCTCTCTCTCTCTCTCTCTCTCTCTCTCTCTCTCTCTCTCTCTCTGTCTCTCTCTCTCTCCCATGCCTACAGATATGGGCATAGCCAGGCCGACGTTCACCTCCTTACCTGAAGAGATCAACCGCACACCACTGCTCATCACTCTCCCGGTAATCACTGTTCTCATGCTGATGTTTGTAGCACTACTCCAGCTTTGTGCACGGGTGGCTTGCCAACTTGCCACCGTGTAATGCTATCTACTGTTGGTGTACTGGTGACATCAAACTAGCTGGGTATGACATCATCCAGTGATATCATGTTAGCCGGGTGTGACATCACCCATCTATAGTATGATGTCACTGTATGAGCAAGCTGGACATAGCAACCCTTATGGTGTCTAGTGCGCACTGCTACTGCTCCGAATGCACCGTCTGTCCAGTGGTTTGTTATAATTGATGTCATCATGTTGCGAGTATGACATCATTATGGTGCGGCAGCCACCTTGAATCGTGCTGATGCTATGAGCGGGAAACTCAGCGCACGTGCGCAGCCAGCATTATTATCCCTATACATGATGGCCACACTCTGCACCCGCACCTTGGTAGTGCAGTTGGGAGTGCGTCACTGTCGTCGTTGTTGTAGAGTTCGGCCACATAGCAGTATTGTTGGCATCATGCATTCTCTAAACACACCCACACCCACATAGGTGTGTGTTGAACTTGAGACTCGGCTGTCATATCGCTCAACTGGACGCCGACAGCTACACTGCACATGCTCACAGTGTGCTCGCTTGAACCTGTGCATCCGCATGTAAGATATGCATGAACGCTGTGCTGTGGTCATGGATGACAGTCCTGGCTGGTGTGGCTCAGTGTGCAGTAGTACATTACACTTCTCTGCACTCCAGTGCAGTGTACACGCCTTGCAGCTGTGTCCGCTAATCACCGCCAGCACCCTCACTCCCGCCACCCTTTGCTTACAATGTGGTACGCGAGTACTATTCTAAGCCACTTGATGATCCTTCTTCGCCTCCTTTGAAGTGCCCTTTTGGCTGTCCACTACACAGACTGCATCTGGACTCTCAGAGCCGTGGATATTTGCTTCATACGGTCACACCTTGATGCTTTTGAACTCTTGACCACCTCTCTCCCTTTCCTGTTTGGCACGGTTTTTATGCTCTCGCCATCCCTTGTACTCAACGCTAGATATATATATATATGTGTACTCGGTAATATAACTAGACACGATAGGTTCTTAGGGTGTGCTGTCTTGTTTATGCAGGTGGATATTTTCGAAAGAGTTTTCTGTGTGTGTGTGTGTGTGTGTGTGTGTGTGTGTTTTACATGCTTTGTGTCTTTGATTACTCCCGCTGAGCGAGTTGTTCAACGGTTGTCTTCGCTGTTGCTGTTGTTGTCTTCGTCGCCCTCATCATTGTCGTTGCTGTTGTTGCATTGGGACAAACCCGAGCTGCCCGTTGTCTGCTGAACTTCCGAATCTGTTTGTACTCGAAGCATTTGTTTACTTTCTTTGTCGTCTGTGCGAACAGTGTCATTATTTTATTTTCAATATCATCTGCGCTTAGAGTAGAGCTTGTCTTCCTTCCCTGTGCCTTTCTTGTCTTTTTGAGCATCTACAATGTAGTCTCACTCACCGAATAGACTGTAGCTTTGTGTTCATGTAGTGGTGGCACTGGGGGTATTGTTTATTATCGGAGTAGAGTAAAACCTGTAACTAAAAACCACCGTGACTCGCGACCAGCCTGGTACTACAGACCACTTCGCCAGGCACGGACGGTCTCACATTCATATAATGGTTGTGCGGTGCAAACCTCTAACTAAGGACCACCTACAACTAAAGACCGCTTTCTCTGGCCCCAAGGGGTGGTCGTTAGTTACAGGTTTTACTGTAGCCATTACTAGTATCTAGGGGGGGGGGACTGTTGTTAGTGGTAGATGGCATGGTCAGGGTAGCTATGTTCGTGTGCTGTGTAGGGTTAGGCATGTCACTGCCAGGGCGGTGGACATGGCACTGAGTCCAGTGTGACTTGATAGGTTAAATGTCATGGCTTGACATGCAGAGCATTGACGATGTGTTGTCTCTGCCAATGCACATGCAGCGGGAGTGTTCTCAGTGGAGCAGGAACCAAGCCCTGCATCTCGTGTGTAAGCATTCCAATCAGGAAGTAGTAAAAATACGGTGTTTTACTACTCCCTGACTCCAACCGATGTTCCCATTGTCATCATTGGTAATGGTTGGCAAATAACTGGATGAAAGGAGCTGCATCTTACTACTCCCTGTGTGTGTATGCTGATCAAAAAAAATACTTCATGTAGTACAGTACAGCACGCATGCACCCATCATATACGCTCGAATGCAGATCACTATTTGAAAGTTTGAATGTGGACTTTTGAGTTCCAATGTTCTTTCCTTTTTTTAGAAATCCAGAATGTTCGAACATTCCTCCCAGCACAGCAAATATCTTGTCTGGTTTGGATGCTAAAAAGAATCAACGTCTTCTTGAAAAAGAATAGAGCTGTGATATGTAATACTGTAGTGCATGGTTCTCACTGCCATGCCTCGAAAGAATTTTTTAAAGATAGGAAAATACTGAAAATAATGATGTACGTTTACTTGAGCATCTCAGTGTGTGTGTGTGTGTGTGTGTGTGTGTGTGTGTGTGTGTGTGTGTGTGTGTGTGTGTGTGTGTGTGTGTGTGTGTGTGCACGCAAGTGAGTGCATGATGCGGCACACTGCACAGACACTTGGTGCCCGAACAGTACACCAAGTTCTAAGCTGAGCAGAGCCACCGGCCATGAGGCATTCCTCCACTGACCTCTATGTACACTGCAGTGTACCAGTGTGTAAAGCGTTGCGGTCTACTGGTCGGTGTCACTGCAGAGAATTGTCATGTCGATGCTATCACACTGTATAAGCCGTTGCTCCTCTCTCGTTACAGTGCTGGATGAGAGTACTCCTGCTGCATCGCCAGCAACATTCGGTGACGCCGTCATCATCGTTGCTGTTGTTGCATGGCCTGTTTTCGCCGCGGCGGCTTCCTCTCTTGCTCTCACCCCCACTGTCAGGCGACTTGTGCCGTCCGCAGTCAGCACCGTGACGTCACTGCAGTGCCTGTTCTTGGCCGCGTTCAGAGGGCAGGCGTCGTTACGGAAGATCGTCCAGCGGAACTGATAATCGTGTGTGTAAGACAGCTACACGTCAAGATTACAACAAGACCAACCACAGAGAACACAGTTATTTAAAAAAAAAGACCATGTGCTTCTCGCATAGCATTAGCGATTTCCCCCGGAGAGATCTTGGTTGCTCCGTACACACTGGCTCGTGCTTTTCCTGGCTCAGTCCAGGGTATATTCTAGAACGAATTTCCAATCGGTTACGGTCCAATGAAGAGTCGGGGGGTGCGGGGGTCCCCCCGGAAATTTTTTTAAAAATACAACCCAAATATGGCACTCGACAGCAATTTAACAGATTTCTTGGTGCTGGAGTGTAGCAAAGATATAAGCAGCTCCATTCACCCACAGAAAAGTACGGGCGGTTGGAACTGATTTGTAACTTTTCAACCGGTCGAAAACCGGTTGGGGCGGTTCTAGAAAATTCCCTGCTCACAGTTGCAGTCATGACCATACGAGAAGCCAACCTCGCAAACGTAACGCTATGCAGTTAAATCGTTACTTCATGTAGATCCGAAGATAGTGTCGTTACTGGCAAGTTGTTGCAACCAAGGTTGTTACTCGCAAGGTTGACTACACTTCTCCTGGCTAGCCAGGTTTATAAGTTTCGAGCGGATTTTCAATTTTCATTTACCTTTCTGAATATTGCATTTGCCGCACCTCGTTGCTGACGACTTCCCTTGCTCCTCCTCAGCCTCAGGTAGCGAATCAGCGGTACGGTATTGACTTGGTTGTCATGGTGATGATCCACGGTAGTGATGTAATGGGATACGGAGAAATCGGCGGGGAGCGGTGCCATGACAACGTCAAAGATGGCTGCAGCAGAGAAGTGAGCACACGCAAGTACGGCGACGAACAAATGTGATGCTCAGCAAGATCGCCGGAAGCAGCTTTTGATTAGTCAGGTCATACCATAGCCTTTCACACTTCGTGTATGATATAACGAGTGTACATAGCCTCCTCAACAGTAAATGTGCATGTGTGGCCAACAAAATAATTGGTCCGGCGATGACCGGCTCAGTAGCTGTGCAACTCTTTGATATACGCTGGTTGTGTGATTACTGTGTGGTTATCGTAATACTGGCTCTGACCACTCCACTGGACGTAGAGCACTTTTACGCAGTCTTAGATAACTCTTTGATATAGATTGAATTGAAATCTAATGAGTTTTATTTACATCCTCCGCAAATTCTCAACTCACGGAGTCGAAACGATCCAAACGAGCCCCGAGTGTTTTTTCACCTGGCTTCGTAAGTTATGAAACCTGCTGAAGAGCGACTCTGAGGGAAGAGTGAGAGATGTTGTTGTCTGCGTTGTGGATCGTGCAATATGTTCCTGACACCTATAATTATGTATCGAGAGACGTGTGTGTGTGTGTGTGTGTGTGTGTGTGTGTGTGTGTGTGTGTGTGTGTGTGTGTGTGCGTGTGTGTACGCGTTGAAGGCCTACCTTCTCGAGGAACATTAGTCATGTGATCGGCACGCAGTTGCTGGTATTCCAACCGACCACCATTAGCCAGTAGTAGATACTTGCCCTGTAGAGGCGCAGTCATCCTATCACTGCCTGCCGTGCCATTGCTGTGAGCAGCGGTGTTCGTGTCACCCTGTTCTGGCCGACACGATGCAGTTAGATACATTCTCCAGTGGCGATCTGAGCGCAGAATAAGCAGCACAAACCGTAGGACTCAGATGGTGAGCCAAGAAAAATATTTAAAAAAAATGGAAATAGTTTAGTTGGTGGACTCTAACGCATAACTTGTGCCCCACCGTTTTCCTTGTTTCCATTTAAAGCCGTAGGAGGTTGACGGTTCAGACATTTGGTTTGCGTTCCACAGAACTGGGACCAGTGCACAAAACATGGGGGCATATCATGGTACATACATGTATGTGGTGGCTCTCGTCACCCTAGCTGGATGGCAGTTCACTCAGCTCTATATAACTTTAAGTAATAGTTCGTTGTTCAGTTGTTCTGATGAGACCTCATTGGATGAAAGAGTTGCTAATGTGTCTTCAACATGGCTAGTCCAAAGCCTGAACACACTTTCCCTAAGCTAACTACTTAAAGTACATGTATAGTCGCAGTGTTTTCTGATTTATTCACCCTCTTGTTCTTTATGTACAGTAGCTAGAACAGTGCCAAACATGGAAGGTTGGCCATGATGAGCTTCTGCACAGTTACAGATGCACATCTAATTAACAGTGCTGCATTGCACATGAATTGACCTTTGAACGAATTCAAGTTTTACTTCTCTGCTGCAACTACCGTAGTAGTAGTAGTAGTTGCTCATGTCACCATTCATACAGTGCTGCAGTCTGGTAAGTGTAGTGTTTCCCACGTCATCAAGGACACCAAATCAGTTATTTTGCTACAAACGTTGTGACATAGTCATTGGTCGACAATCAGCTGAGCGTGGTGAGGTCTGCGGTATTCATATAATTAAGCTTCTATCTACACGAAGATTGTTTGTTTAATCAACTGAGCCCTCGAGTTATTCCCACAGCAGCAATACAGTCATGATAAAAATAAATAATAGAAAATGTGAACTGAGCTCCTTATCATTCGATCCTCTTGGCAGTACTGCAATGCGCCGTCATACTCCAAGACACTTTAGATTGATATGATTCATATCTGATGGGACACAGGCTATACTCGGCCCAATCGACTGTGGTGCAATGCTGTTATTGATTGGTGACTGAATGCAGAGCAGTATTAAATAACTTCCTGTAGCAGCTAAGGGCACGGGAATTCAGTAAGAAACGGGGTTCTCTAAACTAAAGTTCTTCAGTAGTGTCAATTCTGATGTATATTTGAACAACAGGAACTTATGAGTTATGGATTGCTAACGGCCAGTGTCTTTAAGCCTGCCCTCTTCACTGAGTCCATGAGAGACTTTCTCTCTTCTCAGGACCATCAATGATGTCACACATTACTGCTGGATTCAATGTCACATTGTCTTTGAAGTCGAGTGTGGTCCACACGAGCCATGTTCTCCATACAATCGCTAATTGACTCAGTCAGCGATCAATTCTTCTGTAAATTTCATTCTTATCCCAGCCTCCAATTAGCGCACAGACTGACACAGCTAATAAATTGGGTCTAGTTTGAAATAGAATAGATTGTTTATGTCTTGCATGTCTGTTGCGGTGTCCTAAGCTCAACCCAATGTGTATTGGGCAGCTTGGAGAAAACACCGGGTTAGAGTAAGGCCCCGGTCACACATGCACTTTTTTTGGCGGTTCCGCCAAAGCGTAACTTACGCTTCCGCCGTTGCCTCGGCAACGGCGGAGGCGTAAGTAACGCTTTGGCGGAAAGTTTGGATTTCGCTACGCCAAAAAAATGCGAGCGGACCCTCCGCTTTCGCGGATCCGCTTTGGCGGAACCTGCATGGTAATGGCTTTGGAGTTTGGTGTGCTACTTCTGCACTGAGTTCTGGTGTTGTTTGGTTGCCGTTTGGTATTCAGTTTTCATATTGTTCTTCTTTGCCAATGAACTGTACGTTCTGGAGATCTCGCAAACAATACTGCATCGTTATGAGTGGATAATTGGTGAGGGAATCCGTCTCCCAACTCATTGGCCCCGATCGCGGACGATCTCCAACTCTCTCCAAGCAATACGTCCACCAGAGTATGCAACACTAGGACTGCAACCAGGGAGTAGTAGAGTAACGTTACTCTGCCACACCCTCACTGCAACTGCAGGCATCCACGCAGTCGCTGGGTCGATGATGGATCATGGAGGAGGCAACGACACCCTGCTATAAAACAATTTGAATTTGATATTGATGTAAACTAAACTAATATTCAAATACACCCGTGCTGGGCCGCAGTGAATGTGCCCCACATCCACGAGTGTACTTGACAGGAGACATTCAGCAGCCTGTCAGCGATCCACGATAGCTCTACTTGTACAAGCGAAGGTCGCTTCAACTCGGACAAGAAGGAGGCAACGACACCCTACTATACAACTATTTGAATTAAAATTTTGATATTGATGTAAACCAAACTAGTAATATTCAAATACACCTGTACTGGGCCGCAGTGAATGCGCCCCAAATCCACGAGTGTACTTGACAGGAGACATCCAGCAGCCTAGCCTGTCAGCGATCCACGATAGCTCTACTTGTACAAGCGAAGGTCGCTTCAACTCGGACAAGAACATCTAAAATTTCATAGGACGTGCTGCATTTGCATTCTCTCCGCCAAAGCGGAGCGTTGAGGAGCACAGTAGTCTACATGTATGTGTGACCGCTGCATCGTGTGGTCCGCCAAAGCGGCTGCGGTAGTTCCGCTTTCCGCCTCCGCAAAAGCGGTGCAAGCTTTTCATGTGTGACCGCGGCCTAAGAGAGTATACCCTACCACAACCACATCCTAAGCACCACTCCTCTTCTTTTTTTTCAACGGAGGCTTCTACTTGTAGTCTGCCAGGATGCGGCCGGATCTAGCTTGTCCAAACAACCCGCAGAGCTCTGGTTAAGTGCGACACTGCCGTGACAAAGTGCTGCGTTGCTTTGTTCGCTCAGCTCTGGTGTGTTGGCTCTGTTCGCATCTATCTGTTGTCCGGCACTTGGAACATCGCAAGTTTTGCCCGAAATACATGCCCAACTGGATTACGCATTATCTCTAGAACAACCCTACATGTATCTTGTGCAATCATAATTATATACGTGTGCATCGGGAAGCACTCACACTGCATTGCAGAGATCCTTCTCCGCAGTTGTTTCCCGACTCACGTCAGTGACGACAGCATTTTTATGTTGACAGGTCATGGAGATATTTGCTCTCTCTACCACTACCACTAGCTGAAGTCTATTCTACTCCACTGTCGCTGAAGTCACTTGCATCGAAACCTTGGAGGCCTGTGGCTACGCTCGTAGATCCACGAAACCACTCCTATCCTTGACGTGACCTCGTTTGATGCTGGACACCGCAGGGGTCGCCATGGTTCGGAACCGGCAACAAACTGGCTGAGTGGAGCTCAGCTGGCACCACATCCCTCCTTGCACATCTATAATTATTAATTGGCGCTGGGTGCAACAGTGGTCATTCTCAGCGGCGTGTGGTTAGCTACCGGTAGGTCCAGAGTTCAGCAGCAGTAGTACTACTGGACAGTCGTCCAAAGCAGAATGATTGTTTAACAGTAAGACCACAGCTGACATAAGTCAGCAATTGAGAAAATTGCCATCTCGCTCTACACTACGACTGACTGACTGACTGTCACTCACTGCTACGTGTGCTCCGGAACACTAGTGACGACTGCGGCTTTAGTCCATGCAGACTGCGGCTTTAGTCCATGCAAATTGCGGTGCCGGTGAAGTGATAACGATACCATGTTCACCATCGTGTTATTGGATCATCATCCTGTTTGATTGTGCGAAGTAAAATAGAAATCAACCCACCAACCAACCCACCAACCATGTTCGTACTTCCATACTGACAGTGCCTGCGACATAACAGTGCTGCTGCATGTTAACGGTACAGGTTATGGTAAGGTGTGCGCTAATGGAACATTCTACGCCTCCTTCAGCTGCTTTTGTGCTACTCTTCTATGCTACCGTCACTAGCACTGGTTTGAAGACTCCGCACGAACGCGACTCTCTACTAAGTATATCCCCATGTTAGAAACGGCGGATATCACATTCTTAAACTAACATCACATGACACTTCGGTCTTCTGTCCTTAGACACCGCGGTAGTACAATCATGTACATCTACGTGAATGGGTAGTAGTTGCGAATATCAGCCCCAGTAAAAATACTTTATTATTCCTCGGGGTGCTCGTAAGACACTGCATCGCGTAACTGTAAGATGAACTCACCTGTAAAGCTTGGGCAGACAGTCCGGATTGGATTTGCAACAGCACCCGCACTGTTATTGGCTTCTTCAGCGTCAGTACCTTTGCCTGCCACAGGGTTAGCGTGAGTTGATGACGTCAGTAGGGAGAGCATAGCAACGACCATAAGAGGTAGGAGGGCGGATGGAGCTCCTCGGGACACAACCATTTTGGACGGCGTAAGAGACAGACGTTCTGACCGCGTTAGAAGCAGAGTGGAGGACGGAACACTATCTACACAACACATCAGCTTAGAGATCTGCGGAGAATATGGCTAAAGGAGCTCTGGCGTCTCTCTCGACAGGTAACGTTTTGATAGTTGGCTTTTATAGCGGTGTGTTTCAATTGACTTCCTTCAGCTCACCAGCAACCAGAAGCACTGGTGCGGATTTCCGATGGGATGACTTACTACCGAGGACTGCGATGCTGATTGAAGAAGAACAGATGAAGTTGTCCAGCGATTGTTTCTCGCACTAACAATAACTCGAGGCATGTATTGAGTATATGACTTTCTACAGATCGGGCTGACACTCCAATACTCCGATACTGGATAGATCGCCTCGTTTCCCGATAACAGGGATATGTGTCGAGCTGGAAATAGATCAAGCCGGCGAGCACGTGATACGCAATATAGTCACGCCCAGCCCAAACAGAACTCCTGATCTTGGGAGTCTTCCTCTGACGCTCAGTGACAAGGGGTTACGTGATCATCCACGAACACGTCTCACTAACTGACTAAGGGTTGCATTTGGTGAAGGTCACTATACTATTGATGACCAATAGATCGCGTGTGTGTGTGTGTGTGACTGTGTGTGCAGCGAATATTTATACCTTGCAAGAGCAATGGCGATGCATGTCCGCTCCCGGAATTGCCTGCTGTCGTCTGATACTAGTAAGTAGTATAGGATTTATGGCATTCAGCAAGGCACAGGCGACACCACAGCAGGTCTAGGTAGTGTCGCTCTTCCACGATCACGTTGACCTGCCATGGCTGCACATGGCACAATGCTCGCGAGGAATACGTTAGCAGTATTACTATTAGTTGGCCAAATAGTGGGTATGGACCATCAGGACTGCACGGTAATCCCCCACTTTATCACATCAAACGACGTATCCCACGTGTTGTCAATACAAGCACGCGGGTGGATTCCCATCCTACTGCCTAGAACCGGACAATGGCAGTGATAGGCTGGGTACTAGTGGTGGTAACGATCCAGCAAGGTCATCTCAAGTGCGTTTCAACCTCAAGTCCTTTACGCTTTGCCCCCATGGCCCAGTCCCAAGAGTCAAGACTCTACGCACTGAGCTAGCTGTATAATACTATTAGTATTACGGCCAGGTATGATCCAGCTCTGGACAAACATTATGTGTTTGCGGTGCATGATGCAGCATGTTCAGTGCAGAGGGCAGGTATGGCATAGGACACGTAGTATGACCTAGTGGCTGGCATCATCAACTATTACTGTCTTGATCAAGATCAGCTCCATGCTGCACCCCTCGGTCCCTGTTCAAGCTAAGGATGCGTAAGGATGTGTATTCATTAGAATAACGTTTGCTGGATGCGTGGAAGTGCTTGTCAGCTTGTAAAAATTGCATGGCTCTGCACCATCCGGAATCGTCGGTATGCCCCCCCCCCCCCTCTCCTCCGGATAGTTACAGGTCGTCTACCAGTATACATCGTGTTGTCATACGACATACATGTACATGTAGATTGCCGCTTTTTCCTCTAAATATTAAATTAACCCTTTAACCGTCAGACCATACATTTGTGGGTCGAATTCGACCCATCATTTGAAATACTCGCACTTGAATGATTTTTTACCCACGACAGAAAATTTACTATCGATTCGGTTGCGAATTTTCCAGGCTTTCTGTTGCAGAAATCCGCATTGAGCTACGATGTAGTTGAGCAGAGTTATCAAGCGCTGAGTACTGCACGCTTGTCACTTCCGCTGCGCTGGGCGCGCGGCTGACGTCGTCACGGGATTTCCCCGTTTCTTCACGCGGTCTGTGACTGTTGCTCGCGACCAACGTATTCCTCACGAAATGCTCGATCTCTCAAAAAAAATTTGAACACTCTACGATGAAGGAGACGGCCATGGCGGAGTTTTGAACTTGTCATTTGCATGCCTGGCGTTGAGACGACGTCGCTACGTTCCAGCGCTGGTTGTGTGACTGCTGAGGCGAAGAATGTGGTATCATCGTGCTGGTCTCGTCCAGAGCTTTCCAACGAGCCCAAGATTATAAAAATCGAGTGAGTACAACTAAAGTTATGACCTGGCAAAGTTGAAATTTCGTTCGGCGTTTCAATGGGTGAAATTTATATGACGGTTAAAGGGTTAATATTCCAATAGCCTTCCAACTAACTTGGAAGGTTCTGAGGTATTAATGAGCGTGTCTGGTGTTCCTACTGGATACGTGTACGTGTTAAATGCGCGATCTTATCATGGTTTAGCTTGTACATGTATCTAGCCTTCGAGTGTTGCTCTTGCGTAGGACGATCAGAATGTACCGGTGTGAAGTGCTGAGTGTTCCTGAACAGTGAATGGAGCGTGATATGATAAACGTGTGTGAGTGTGATGCAATGCATCCATTTTATGAGCTGTGCGTATGCTTGCCGCAACGGATCAGCTCCACACATGGTATTATGGAGTTGTGGAGCTCATGATCTTGTCTTGGTACTAATACATGTACATGACTGTACACTACATGACATTGTACTGGCATACATGACATCATGTATGCCAGTACATGATGTCATGTATTGGTTTGTATTTGAAGTACTAGTAAGTCTTAGCAGTACCGATACCAAACAAGTGGCCATTCAACGTATGCTGCCAAACAGTGCAGCGCCGTCGTTACATTCATTATTCTGCAATTGTATTCCATTCCCATCGAGCCATAACGTGTTATACTGACTAGCTAACCTGTGTGTAAAGACTGAAGGTGTTGTCACGGCACCTGCGTATAAACAATTATTTACTAGTATTATTATTGAATCCACCACATGTAGCAGCGCTCAAAAGAGACAGAAGCGGAAAGGTTAGCATTTGCTGCCTTGTACGCGAACTGTTCTATTTATAATATTATTATTATTGAATGTGCTTCGAAGTACACTGAAGTGTACATGTCAAGTAATCCCCAGCACATGTACAAACAGAAGCATGGAACAAGGGGTTTGTACTTTGTCGCTTGTAGGTTCAAGGAATTCCACACGCGTGTGCCTGTGAGGCTGTGCGCGTGTTCCGGTACGTTCAATGGAGTTTTTTTTGTTGTTGCTGTACATCCTTCTTCCCTGAGTGAAGTACATGTAAATGCTGTTTCAAGGTACACTATGTACTCAGGAATACTAGTAGTGTTTGCTCGCCACACCGGAGCTGGCGCTTCCCGCCGACTTGACACTTGACTGACACACGACTGCCACCCGGAGCACGCGGAAGTCCATCGAACCTTCGACTCGGAAGGCCTGCAAGAAAGCACCACTCCCTGCTCACTACAAAGTGTTTCGGGGAATTCACGCCTCATCAGTTGAGCTTGAGTAGGCTGAGAAAGATTGTGTCTGAAGAGCACCACTGACATGTATTATAGTGCTCTTTAGGCCAAACATCACCAGGGATACAAACTTACAGAGACGCTCCGTTTCCCGCGCGACAAACACCTCGTGAACACCAGATAGCAGCGTGAGTCTGATCTGGTTACAGATTCGAGGAACATGCTTACGACGTCCAAGCTCAGGCAGTCGTTATCGCCACTGAAACTGATCAGGTCCACAACAATTCTGTGATACCGAGCCAGCGGCCCAGCGTACCAGATACCGCTGTTGTTTAGAAATAGAATGCTCTCCGCTGCCTGTTGTCGCTACAGACCACTTCTTGTTGTGCAGTGGAGTGGCTCTGGTTAGCGGAATGACGCTAGAGGCGGGGCTCCAAACGATTCGGGAATATTCCGGATTATCAGCGGTGGCTCCATCGCCATGCCTACCAATTCCTGGTACTGTACCTGAGTTGTGCTAGCCAGACGGGAGCAACCACTGTTGCCGTTACAACCTGTTTCCGAATGAGTTCCGGGATTCTGGGCAGGAGAGGAAATGGGAGATTGACATACATGTAGCTGTGGGTTCCTGTTCAGTCTTGCTGGAGTGCATCTACATGTATTGCTTTCGTCTTCTCTTCTACACGGGAGTTGTATTGAGGTAACTGCGTGCTCTGATAGTTCGCGACGCGATCCACATCGTCTCTGGTCCCAGTTCTGCGTCTATCGTCTGGAAGATTCCGTGACCAGCCACTGGGGTCCACTCTCGTATTCGGCTGAGGCGATCAACATCAACAACAAAAAAGTTAGCTAGTGGAGGTAACCAACGTGTAGCCGGAGTATTCCGACGTGGTGAAGGCCTACCCATGGCCGCGTCGGGACATCACCAACCCCGTCTACAGAGAGCACCTTCTCGCGACAGTGTCATGGTGGTGGCAGTGACTGTTGACAGCTGACAAGCTGAGAGAAGGATGCCATGGGCAGAAGTTGGAAGAAAAGAAGATTTAAGAAAAGCACTTCAGGTTTAAGTAGCAACATGACTACCAGGACGACATCCAGGAGCGATCAAAGAATACACGACGGGCGTAAGGAGAAGTCTAAAACTCCCCTAGCATAATGAGGATCAGAACCAGGTTCAACACCCATATGGTTCAAATGGTCCGCAGGGACCGGGGCTCTGCCAACCGCGGAAGGTTGTAGTAAGGTCACTGTTTCCGAACACAGTGTCCTCCACCTTGTTTCATGCTGTCAATGTAACAATACGGTATGCGACTGAGAGCCTCTAGCAGACCTCTCACACCCACCTCAACCATAGTGCACACACCGCGTCTGATACCATGTCTTTTTTCGCTAGCTTATTATACTCTCCCTCGCTCTATGTTGCGGGGACAGTAGCTCCCTTGTCATGTAATAGCTGGCCTACTGTAACAATTATGGCTTTGCTGGCCAAATAGCTGAGGCTGCAGTCAACTCACCAATCATCTCATGTTTTCAATGTTCCTTCTATTTTACTTTAACAATTTCGCAACGTCTCTCTCCCTCCCCCAACCACTCTTGGTGCGTCTAGGTGGCCATGAAGTCGAGATCCGGCCTAGGTCGGCGGAGCTCCCTAAACCTCATCACCACTGCCACGATTCAGATTGTGCGTGCTTCCCCTAGCTGCATCTCATGCTTGGCATTTAACTTTCCGGGATATTCTGTCCCTGCGGGAATTTGCGGAAAAAGTCATCGAAAACTTGCGCAAGAAATTGCGGCAGAAAACAACGAAAAATGCGGCGAAAAGTGCGGAAGGAACTCGCGGAAGTATTGGCAGGAAATTGCGGATTTGGGCCAAATCACGAAATTTGTTGCATCATTAGAATCGCTATTTGCGTACTGTGCAAATAACCCACGTACAGGATCATAGAAAGCACTGTATACTGCGTGAAAAGTGCAGAAAAAAGTGCAGAAAACAACAAAAAACGCGGGAAATCGGGGACTTTTCTCAGAAATTTGCGGGTTTTGGCCAAAATCGCGAAATTTGTTGCATCCGTGGAATCGCGATTTCCTGGAGGGACAGCCATATTCCAGCCCCCTCCCCCAGGTGACCATTGACTGCACATGTGATGTACATGTACATGAAGTACAATGGTGACGTAGCACATGCAAAATGTGTACTGTGTAGTGTGTACACTGCAGCTCCCCTTCATGCATTATTCATCGTGATTCATTTGATCCTAGTTTATGCATGCATGTCTCCACCACCTACTAGTAGCACTACAT